GTGTCAACTGCCAGGACCACGCCACGCGGATCGTATTCAACCAGAATCAAATCCCGGTTTACAATCCATATTGATTTTTTGTGTAACTCCTTCTAACTGGGAGGCGTACAACTGCCCCCATAGTATACCCTTGGTGGTTATAGGCTATGCGTGAAGAATTTTGATTGAAAGCTAAATATTTTCATCTTTTAGAGTACATCAAACTGTCACTCACATTGTGTACCTTTGTTCTTATACTTAGAAATGGCTAAAAAATAAGCATTTCTTCGTCCTGTGTGCATCACTGTCAAGCAAGTTTCCATTAAAAAAAATCAAACATTTTAATACAAAAAAAATGAATTACTAAAGTCCAGCTTCAAGATTCTTTGTGGAAACTAATATAGAGATTAGAGAATAGGAGAAATTAATAAATAAACAAATCCTAATTGAGACATTTCAGTTGGAAATTTGTCTTCTTCTTCATATCCTAAAGCTTCAAAATATCATTCACAGCTTCACAGATATCAGAAGCACAATGACAAATTTGGTGACTGAGTAAAAGTTATTGAAATCAGCTACCCACAAACTGATACCCTCAACACTGAAAGTTCAAGATTAAATGTCATGATTTCTTTCTCATAACAACATTTTTTTGGATCCTAAAGCTTTGAAAACAAGGATATATTCAATGAACAAGTTAAGATTGGGACATTAAATTTGTTCTGTTAATGCTTATACCTAAAGGTTGCAGAAAAATGTGATATTGAACAAGTGTATATTTTATTGATAGGTGAAGGTATAAACTAGGACCTTCAGCAAGTGAGCTACTTTCTATAAAAATGGATATTATATGGATAATATACATGCATGTATTGTGAATCGTATGAATTAGTGAATCTAACTATGCACCTCACATTTTAAATACTTTATACACCAGAAACATGAGGATACAATTAATGAATGCTAGAGGGTTTATACATGAACAATCAGTGAGTTATAATCTCCCTAACAATGGTGGTCCCACAATATTGTGATCACCACCCTATGAAAACTTTGACCAATCATCCCGCATCAGTTGTAGCCTGTGCTATTTTAGCCCATTGTGAAGTGAACAAAGGTTGTTTAGTGAATACCCCCCCACTTGAGATCAATACACACGCTTGAAAGTTTTTTGCTGCGGGAGGGAGCGTTCCCAAGGCGTTGCACGGACGTAGCCCCCCTTGCAGGCAGGGCCAGGATATGCATGGTGGATGGCTAGCTATGCATGGCGGGTACCTCTGGATGATTTGGCGCAGGCAATGGGCGCTACTGATGGCCCCCTTGATGGGCTATTGTCCCATACTCTCTGCTCAAAAGGGGACATATTGATTGGAGTGGTTTTCAAGAATAAAGGGTTATTTCTCCTTTAATCTGACAAGGAATTTGAATTGGTTCTGGCCCGCACAAAAGAGAGCACCCCCAACATTGTGGTCACTGTAAATTGCCTTGTGTCGATGATCTGATGACATAAATTGTCTTTGGATGACGTTCTGATGAAGTGGCCATTGCCACAGCGAACACTGTACTATGCTTAGACGTGAAAACAAGCCTTCAAAGTTTACATCCCCTTTTCAACACTACAACAAAACAGTGGTGAACTCCTCAACAAAAACAACCCTCAATGCTGTTAATATCGCCATACAAATTTGCTGTGAAAACAGGCCAGTTGTTGACGATAACTATTCTAATCTCTTAAACCGTGCAATTAATTTCATTTCACAGAGGACTAAGCTTGTACTATAACATCCCAGTATGGTGCTCGGGCCCTCTCCTGGGCTCCGAATTCCTTCCCAGCATGCTGCGCTCAGCTGGAAGGCTAATAATGACCTTTCTTACACCAATCAGGCAATGACAATGTAAAGAGACACAGTTCGTATAGATTCAGCTTGCAAGCTTGAACTGGTTTGGGATTTCTACAAGTGCATGAGAAAGTTACTTTCAAAAGTTTTTCTTTCTTTTTTTCTAGATAGATAGTGAACTATCAAAGATTACTGGCGAGACACTACTCTTCTGTTTTGTGACGAATGATCGAAAGGTGTGCCGAGGAATTTCTAAAAGACTGAAATGAAAGTGGATAATATTTACATATTTGGCTATAAGTGGATAGTGTCAGTTGTGCATTTTCATTTGAATCTCGGACTCTCATACAATCTACAGATTTAAGTCAACCATCATGTGAGCAAAATTGAAAATAAAATTATGTTTCAAACTCCAATCTATTTTTCCCTTTTCACATACCCACCTGGGTTCATTTACCTTTGTACACTGTTGGCCTCTATGATCAATAAAACTATGGTTACAAATCATATCATTATAAATATCAAAGTAAACATTCCATGAAAAATGTTTGATCAACAAACATTTTGAGACGAGAAGTACAAGTATGTGTACAGTACACATTCCTCTGTATCTATCGTAGAGTACCTATTGTGTGTAAACAGGGGGGGGGGGGAGATTCTATAGCGATTTTAGCAGGATAAAAATTTAGTCAGCGGTGCATAACATTCACAATAGAAATAGTGTATTGCATTAGCATCGAGCCTACCTTGTATGGAAACGATATTATTTTCATCTTATATGTGTAGTGTAGCAGCTAGTAGCAGCCCACAATAGTATTTGGGTGACATGGCATAGTGGCGCTAAAAGCCATTAAGAATTGTCACTGTGATGTATGTGTATAAAACTGTGACCACTTTTTGAATGAATGAAGTGGAGTGGACAAATCGTCTGTCATGTATACATGGAAACTGTGGCCCCTGCATGAATGCCTTTAAGTTGAGATCATTGTATAATCAGAAAGAACCGTTGTGCAACAAATCGTCGCTGTTTTCACGAAGTGATGGTAGTGAAAAAAAATTGCATTCAATTTGCGTTACGATTTTCCTCACTACCGTCTCTTCGTGAAAATAGAGACGAAATAAGCACAAGTTATTAAAAACTAAACAGTACTTTTTCAGTAATGTATTCAGCCTAAAAATGATTATAATGGATGCAAATGAAATGAAATAACTTAGCTTGAAAACACAGAGAAAACAAGAAAAGCTATTACAAGATGCTGACATTTAATTTATATCTTGAGATTTTCCCTACAGATTGCAATGCAATATGAAAATGATGACTACCGGTAATCAGATATTCTATAAAAATGCAGTCTTGTGAGAATAGGATACCACCATCTAAATTATCAAGGTTATATATGAAAAGTAAAGCTAACTTCTCTTTGCTTAAAGGTATAAAGAACAAGTCACATTACAGTATTTAAAGCTTATCTGCCGTACATGTAGTTTACAGGAGGGATTAGACTGTCCTGCAAGGTCACTGGACAGGTGGTTATCTCATCAACTCAGCTCTCAGTTAACATAAGAAAAAGAGGATCATGGGGGACCCATGGTCACCGATTAAGCATTGTTTGTTATATAGAGGGCGCAAGTAGCTACAAGTAGTGCAGTGGGCCTTTAAAGGATCCAATCATTTAGGAAGATATTTTGTGTACAGCTGGTACATGTATATAACATCAACTCCAAAAACAATATCAGGCATCCTGTATGTTAACAATTAACGAAAGAACAAAAAGAATTAAAAATCAGTACAATCCTGTCAGATTATTGCTCCATGCATGCTCTTTTCTAAAAACACTTGCAGAAAATGTATTGTTTCATACACTTACAGTACATGTACAGAACATGATGGTTTTATCCACAGCTCAGCAACTACAAGTAAGTTTCTCCTTTCACTTTTTTCAGAGTGCTTGTTTAATCCTGCCTGGTTTTCTCATCAGAAGCCAATTGACTTGAAGACGAGGGGTGAAGTTGAAGGCTCAATAGAGCCTAAGATTATGCTGTCTGCATAATATATGCCAACATCTTTCCTATCGATTACTGCTTTAACATCTCCAGATGTTCTTGGAAACCAGGAAAATATCAAATTTCTAGTCTTTGGTTGGAATCGATATTGCTTCATCACAAGAAGAAATAATTTCCCTTGTTTTCGCCTAAAAGCACTAAGAAGAGACTTTATAAATTTATTTTTGTTGAAACTTGTTTATCATTTTTCATGTTAACATAATCATCCACTAACAATACGAGAAACCAAGCACCTGCGAGCATGTATCAAGAAACCAATACTCATGGGGACGGCTAACATTTTACCATGTTTTAGCTGTCATTGCAAGACCCCCAATAGACCCACCTTTCAATTCACACCACAGATCATTCAATCAACATCACCTTCAAGCATCCTCCAATCTAACCCAAGGTATCAACCAGAGGGGATCCCTTAGCCCCGCCCCCTACAACAATCATCCCCAAGGCAACAGCCATTCTCCATGTCAGGCAGACTCACAGTGGCAAGGGGTCGACCCAGTTCAAGGGGTTAGCCATTCTGTTGGACAAATTTCTTCCGTGGAAATCCTCGGTTGGGGAATGACGCCAGGAGCATCAAAACATACCGTTTGGGTTCCGTGACGGGGGATGGAATTTGGGGTACGGTGTCAAGAGGGGTACCAGACACGTACGCCTTGTACCCATTCTCAAAAGGTGATGAACGCTGTGCATTGTATTCAGACACCGCGATGCACATGAAGCTCATAATATATGGAGCCTTAACAAGACTCCCAGCTTCATGGAAAATGTTGTTGGGAAAATTTGACTTACATCGTGGCGTATTATTTGATGGGATCAGTTTACTAAACAAAATCAAACTATGCATTCTGAAACATTTTGTATGAGGCTTGCCTAACATGGCAACAACCAAAGGATACAAGGAGGATTCTATCCATGGAGAGCTATCTTTACAGATAGTACTACTATTTACACAGTGCAACAAACTTTTTTTCTCCTACCAATGATGGGCTAACCATCTTTCATCACATGATTTACTTTTGACCAATCGTAGCGTAAGATTCTTTGTATGTGGAATATAATTTCTATTATCTTTAACATTATTTTTCATTTTCTAATTAATGAAATAAGACAGTTCTGTACCTGATTCGAAGGCGTAAGATGACGAGGGTCATGACGAACCTTCTGTAGTCTCTCTATAGCCTGCTTGGACAACCGTGTAGAGCTGCTGTACTCAGAACAGTCACTGTTATGACGTAACAGCTGCAAGAAGAAAAAAAGATTACATTACATTACAAGAGAAAAACCTAGGTTTTGTAACATTACATGAGTGTCCAAATCATTACAGACCTACTGAACACAAATTAATACAATGAAACATGAAACCCATTCCAAGGTTTAACACATACAGGAGGGTGGGACACATTGGTCCCTAAATTTTGTCTCTGGGACCCAAAATTTCATCATTTTAGCAGGTGGCCCATACATTCGGACCCTACAAATTCCAATCCGAACCCCCATGCCTGCAGTCTGAACTTCTTATTGCCATAGAAACTTAGGAAGTACAAACCAAATGTTAAACTAAAAAAAAATACTATTCATTTATGTGTTCTGCTTGTAATATACAGGTGTACATCTACAATGTACATGTATACATAAATAAGAGCTGTCATACCATCATCATGTACTGTACATGTATGAGCAATTAAATGTATTAATTTGTATGAACAGCTTTACAATACTGTGGATAATAACTGAATTAACAGTTTGAGAAAAGGATGATTTTCAGTTATTTTGCTATTGAAGAAACAAGCCCATGAAGTACAGGTACAGGTACATGTACATGTACTTGTATAGACTACAATTGTAATAATTTTAAAAGATTAAATTTGTATCATCCTCCTAAAAAATTACACTTAGGGAATGAAATATCTGTATTCTTACATGTACATGTATCTCGTATTGATTACTCAAAAAATGAGCAACAAATGATAATGCAATTATAGAAAAAGAAAAGAATTTAACCTGGCGCCATTCAAATCCACCTACAGATTGAGAGGATTAAAACCACATTACTATTACACATGTCATTTACATGTATAACAACCCCCCCCCCCCCTCCAACAAATTTGAAAGCCATCTTTGTAGCAATGCATGTAAACTATGCAGAACAAACTTCCTATGGGGTCGGTGTATTATTTGTTAGGTGTGTACTTCAAAGAAGCCTCTACATGTATAAATGAAAGCATTGTATGGGTTTTACAATCAAATTTACACCACTCGGCAGAGTGCACCATTCATGGGCCGACAGAAAAGGGAACAATATATCAGAGCATGGTATAATACACAACGCCGGCTACCAGCCGTTGACGATGGGTAGAGGGTGTATGATAGGGCGATTGGATAGTTTGTTAATAATGAACAATCAATGCTTTATGGCATCCGCACACTATTTAGAGTGTGATTTACATGACAAAATTATGGAGGCAGGCACATACAGGTATGAAGGGCCTTATACTTTGTAGTTTGTACAGACATTCAATGTCCACAGAGTGTACTGGTACTCAAGATAATTGAAGTACTGTCTATTGTTCATTTCGACACATCGTACAAAGGCTCAACTACAGGTGTCTGAATTAGAGTATGATGTGAGGTAAAAAATAAACATTACTACAATACATGTTTGTACATGAACCTACATGTAAATGGTAATATTTACTCATGTTTGATGAGGGCCATACAAGCTAGAAATATAGTACGGTATGTTAAACTTTGTAGGAACACTACATGTGTACATGTACGACGTCAAGTCATGGAAAATGGAGGCTGTATTTTCTTTGTACATGTTTATATGGAAAATGGAGGCTGTATTCTACTTGTACATGTTTATATATTGAGTAAGAATCTATAACCATTATAAACTTTAGGTTGATTAATAAACTAAGGGTGTTCGATATATGAAATATAAAATTGGGATAAAACTGGAAAAACAAAATAAGACATGATCTCTAGTACCATACTCCATATTTAAAGGCTATGTTGCTCCCCCCTCCCCCCCCCCTAAAGAAAAATCCTTTCCATCAAATCAAAACAAGGTAATGGTGCACATAAATTATCAAGGATTTTGCATCATTCAAAATGTCAGATTGTCCATTGAGAGCATGAAGGACATGACCTCTGTTGTAAAACGTAATGCCCTTCTAGCTATCAGGAGAAAAAAATGTCTGTGATCGAAGACTACCAAAACTTTACCCAAGTGGGAAAAGGGGGGGGGGGGGGGGGGGGGGAGTAATCGCATTGCATTATATTACAAGAAGCAGTTCAGGTGAGAGGAAAGCCCGAGCCTCCTTTGAATTTATTCATTTTCTAGTCTATATAATCTAAAACAGATGAATCCATTAAAAAAATCACCAAAGTTCGCATCTTTCGCAAACTTCATTACTGTAGCCTGTCTGTGGTTGAAGACTACTGATATTTTACCAAAGTGGGGGAGGGTTTCAGGGAAGCAATCCCATTGCATTACAATACAAGAAGCAGTACAGGTGAGAGGAAAGATCCCATTCATGGTTATTGTCAATAAGTAAACACTTCATTTTCTGCGGGTTCTGAAAACTATTTGCCTATGGGTCAATGACAATTGAAGAGGCCTACTACCTGACCATACAGGTATGCCTAAGATGTAAAAGGGGATTGAATTAAGGGTGTGTCTTCCAAAACTGACTTTAAACAAGTACGAGTGCTCCTTGGAGAGCCCTCTTAATATTTGAACATACTTTATTTTGGACAAATTTACATTCCATTCATAATATGATTTGGTCAAGACCCCTTCTGTTGCATTATTGGCCTTGCTTCAACTTGTTAAGAAGATAAGAAAGTTAAAAAGAAATTGGACAGGCCTTGAAATAAAATGAACAGAAAAAAACACCTAATTGAATTTCAACTATTTATCTCGATATTACATTTTTCTTTAAAATGTGGACTGTGGAGTATCACAGGTAATCAAGAGGAATTTCTTGCAAATTGTTTGTTGAACCAGGAGAGCATGCATGAATGACTGTACATCTCATACATGTATGTTAAAACCATGAATTACATGTACTTTCTATCTTCATATTGCTTTTCTTTTTAAACCTCAAAACCTAGAAATATGGCATAATTTCAAATTGCAATACAAAATCTGAAATTAAGAGGTTCTTACAAATAGTTTTCTTGCTACTTTCTACAGAACTACAAGTATACAAATGGACAGCATATATATTTGGACACATGAACAGAACAATATGAAATGGATGGATTTGTAAGTTCAGATTCATGCAGGTCACACACAAATAAGAACTAAAACAGGTGTGCCGCCATTGTACACAGTCTATAGAACGGAATGAGCAGTGATTTACAAAAACCTCACATTTCATTTCCAGCCTAATTGGGCTTGTCTTATGAACACTCTGGCAGTCATGCATCCCATCGGTAGGTGAGCGGGAACTGAAAACAATCATCGGGAGTCTGTGATATCAACTTGGACCGGTCATTTAGTTTTGATTACGGTGGGACAATGAAGATGATGTTTGTGTTGATGGTACTGAAGATGTTGATAATGATGCTGATGATAATATACATGTACATGTAGATGATGATGTAGAATTGGAGATTATCATTTTCTCTCTCTTTCAGGAACTTTCCTCACATGCATTTGCTTTTCTTTTGGTCCTTTCTGTATTTCATACTGTATTTATTATATCAGTCCAGGGCTAAGGATAGTACAGGAGTACAGGGCTAATCAAAACAAGTGTGAAAAGAGTAATAGAGTAGAATTGGAAGGCTTCACAAAAGCAAACAATGAATTTATATTCAAATGCCACAACTTGTTAAAGCACTTTGTGAAGGGGCTGAGTGTTTGCTTAGGGGAACCTATGTTTTTACTTATTAAACACATTTTCAGAAAAGGCCCTTTCTCTCAGGAAGTTTTTCTCTGAGGTATAATTAGATGTACATCTAAAGAAGTAGGGTAAATATACAATTTTCTGGTTAAATAATTGGCATCCTGGTATTTTCCACAAGGATTAGATAAATCAAAGGAGGATTGCTTTAAGGATAAAGTTGAGTTCTGGTCACACGATTGCAAAGCAAGAAAAAAATGAAAGTGATCAAAGTCGAGTTTCAAATGGAGAGAGAGAGAGTGCGCGAGAGTTGTTTGTATGATGACTCAGATCGGACAAACATCATGTATTCTTGTTGTTAATGACAAGTGCAAATTCTGAGCACCTTACAGGTGGTTCTTTGACTTGAGGCATGCAGTTTTCAATCTTTCAGAGATTTTGGAAACATCTTTCATGTACATCAGCGATGTATGTACGGTATGTAGTGCACTACAGTACGAAATTGCACAAGTACTCCGAGTCCTAGGAAAGGGCACTAATGCCCTTTAACAGGGTTTGTACCTGTATCTTCATTTGCCACACTCAACCCAGGTGAAGTGGATAACCTGGTAGGATTCATTCATTGAATGAATTCAGCTCTACGGCTGGCCGAGATGAGATGGGGAAAAATTTAGCTCAGGGCTACTTAGCACCCCCCCCCCCCCCCCCCCCCGAAATGCCAAAAAGAGCCCGAAAGTCATAAAAGAGCAAACAAAAATTTGCATAGAGTTCAATGCAAAACAAATTAAAGAGTGTTATTTTCATGCAAATAAGCTTGAAAAGTAGCCCCCAATATTTTAAAAATATTTCTTTCCCTGGGTGTAAAGCTATCCACCAAAGTCCTTTGAAAGATGTACCCCTATATATCACTATTTGATAAGCACGCACTATACTAAGAACGGATTAGTATTATTATCTTACTGGCAGTATCCCTTTGATAGGAATTAAAAGTGGCCATAGGACTATTATACTACCTGTACTATCAAAATCAGGCTTCCTCTTTTTGTTCTTGGGTGAATTACAAGCAATCAACGACACACTGTTGAGCCACAGTGTCAATCAAACATCTTTTACAAGTCCATAAAACATATTGGTCCGCACAAGGTTTTCCAAGTACAGCCTTTACAAGTGTTTGTTTACCTCCACGCATGGATGCACAAAAAGTATGGTGCCTTCATTAATAATGGATTAATGAGGGAACGCATGAATACTTGCTTTATCTTTTATTGACATTCAACGGACAAGCATTTAAATGTGCCCTTCAAGGGATATTCATTTACAAAGGATGATCGATAAACCTTGCTTTCTACTCTCAGGAACAAGAGTGTGGTTTTCTTTGTGTAATTGAATTTAAAAAACAAAGGGATGGATGGTTTTTCTTTCAAAAGACTGTTTTTATTTTGCATGGCTGAATGAGATGCATGAGACCTACAGCATGCACATATATTATCCAACACTATGCTCCCAAAGTGTTAATCATTTACAAATAAAGAGGCTACATATATTTGGCAAATGGACCCTTTTGACAAATAATTTCATTATCATTGTAGCACCTCACGAAGGCACTCTTCTTTTGCTTCATAAGTAGATCTTTTGAATGATTTGAAAAGTATGATTTGTACTTTAATATTGCCAGGTACATGTATCATAAAAAGTAATATAGTAACACAAAATCAAATATAGATATTTATACAGTACAGTTGGACAAGCACAAAGGAAACATTAATTTGCATTCAAAATATCACACACCAGATGTACATGTACATGTACATGTACAAATGTACTGATGTAATGTAATTTTGGTGCCCTCGATAAATCACAGGTGATTAAAATACAATTAAGAATCTTAATTGACTAAGTGATCTTCCATCTGACTATATTTGTAGATTGAGCAAATTTAAAAGGACTTTAAGTGACAATTAAGTCCATCTAGACTGCCTGAAAGGAATGCACTTTAGGGTCATTAACAGTGTTTTTTTAAAGAGTCAATGTAAACATCACATGTACATACTAAGTACAATAGTACGTGTTAATTTAAAAGAGAATTTAATTAGTATTTCACTGCAAATCAAACCAAACCTAGACTAAATAAAGCTAAAGGCATTACCCAGAGAAAACACAATTCCATTTCTATATGGTAGTATTATATTCTGTGATTTAACATACACCTGTAGCCCTTCATGTACATACAATGAACATGAATATGTACTAAGGCTGTGCACAACAGTGTAATGAGGTACCCGAGTACACTCCCATGCTTACAAGCGAATACTCGAGTATTCGGACGCCATGTTTTTTTTTGAATTTTTTTTTTTTTTTTTTTTTTTGATTTTTTTTGATTTTTTTTTTTTTTGATTTTTTTTTTTTTTTGATTTTTTTTTTTTTTTTTTTTTTTTTTTTTTTTGCCACCACCATACATACCACTGGTATGCGATGAAATTGCGATGAAATTGCGATGAAATTGGCAACAATAGTCAAATTTGACTAATAGCCATTATAATACCAAACGAACAACAACAACAACTGGAGCAGTATCCCAGTTCTGTCGCCGAAAACGCATGCAATTTTACTTTGAGTTGCAGTTGAAGGCGCCGATTTAATAATAATAATAACAGTGAACAATGCTGTTTTAAAAACCAAAGATGGCAGAATAATCCATTTTCCTCCAAGTCCAAGCAGAAATCCAGACATTTGGTCCCAGTTTCTGAGTGGTGAGTTTGACAGTGCTCAAGAGTTGGGAAACATTTTTACCGACGGCACCATGCCAGCGGCCGCCGCTCACCCAGGCACGGGTAAGCGTCGGCCTGGACATTTAAAAAAAAAAAAAAAAAAAAAAATCTTTTTTTTTTTTTTTTTTTTTTTTTTGCGGCCGAATATTCGGGTACGAGAAATCGTACCCGAGTAGTTGTCAACCGTGCGGGTACTCGAGCATTCGACTACCCTGCACAGCCTTAAATGTACTTGAAACCATGCATGGTAAAAAAAAAGTTCTCTCAACCATTTTTTTATTGACTGAGGCTTTTTGACTTGACAGACATTCTTTTACAGAGTGAGAGAATCGAGGTAGTAAAATGTCAAATTCATAACCCCCCCCCCCCCAAAAAAAAGAGAGAGGAATAGAATTTAATTTCATGAAACATGTTATCCTTAATTTTATCTTAATTCCATTACATGACTTTATCTTTTCTCCTGTCCATTCTTATTTTTTCTCTCTTCTTTTTCCTTGGTTTGTTTGCTTGTTTTTTGCTTGAATATCCAATTTGGAAAATGTGATTCTATTGATCACCATGCAGTAAAATAAGCAGTACATGTTTCTATTTTTCCTGCATGTGTTTTTTTTTAACGAAATGAAAATATGAAGGTCATTTTACAATCGTACACTAAAAAGAATACAAATCATTCCCAAATACATGCTATAATAATTGAACTACGTGTAGTAACCAAGTTGCTCCCAAATACACATTCCATTTTACTCTCGGTGTGACCTACACAATAGCGAACTGTGCATCCACCTACCCACTCTGTTTGCCAGCTCCATAGTTTTGTCACTTCCAAAAAGTACATTCACAATTTCACATTCCAAAGCACAATAACACAGAAAGATAAATCATGACAAGCCGTCTTCTTCTTCTTTGAACTGTACACGCACTCTACTGTGGTGCGGAGGCTACCCAGAACAAATAAAACAAGTTTTGGTATTAAATAAATATTCTGTAATTCTGAAGCTCGTAAACATAACATAAAATTAATCCTCCGTTGAGCCCCATTGCTGTCAAGCATTGTAACGCAGGAACCTTAGTAATCCTTTCATTTTTATGAAGCAATGCTGAAAAGTTTATGATTCCAAAATTTAATCTGAATTTTTAAAGAGTTCAGTGAATAACATTGTACATGGGGGCCAATACAGTGCTAGAACAGTAATAAGAATGAAGACACAATATGTCTACTTTGGTCTAGTGGTAAGCTAATACACAGAATGTTGATACAACTCTCTGGAATTTGTAAACTTCTCTTTTTTTGGGGGGGGGGGGGGGTTGGGAGACATGTATTGTGAAGATCTGTTGATATTTCTTTCTATAATTTATAAACACGTTTCACCCTGCTGCCTAGTTTAATAAACATTCCCTTCAGTAAGTTGAAAATATTTTTCATTCAAAGTATTTTTCAAAGTATGCTACTGAATGAGCACAATTTGGAACTAAAGTCTGATGAGTTTATTTCTATTACTTCTCAAACAACTGAAAAAGACTAGTGAGTAGTGACAACTGACATTAGCAGAAGTGTAAAGTACAAGGCCTTCATTACTACATCTTTTTATTTTTTTCTGTATCCATACTCATTTAACAAGGTAGCCTAGTCGGTAGTGTACATTGTAGTTAAGATACCATTGTACGTACATGTAATATGGGCCCTTATGTTTGGGTTTGTTAATTCACAGTGCAGAACAAAAGTCAATAGATCATTTCTCCTTATTATATCTATACTAGTGATCATTGCCTTCATTTTACCACTAATGAATACCTGGGACAGATGGGGGATTAACTCTTAACCAAGTCACCATGAAACAATCCCATTGTCATCCTTTTCAAATAACGCCATGTGGATTACCCTGACCAACTGTGAACGATCAATATGCTTTAGCATTCCTCAAGATGGCCACCCCTTCCCCCTGCGTTGCCGGCCTTGGAACCCCCTCCCGATCATTAATAGGGCTTTTTACATCACCTTTTATTGCCTACTTTGAATTGAAGACTACCTTAATGACCCTGTCACCCTGTAGTATAATGTGCATTGTAAATATACTTTCAAAGAAAACTTCTAAATTTCAAAGCACTTTAATCAATCTTAACTCTAAGTAATCAATTCTGCACATAGAAATACATAGAAATTGCATTAAAGTGGACACTTCACCTCATAATTATAGGCTTCAATTGCTATTCAAAGGTCTGGGAAAGTAACATAAGTGCTGCAATTAATAGCTGCCCCTGACGGCATCTTGATTAAAGTTTGTTATTCACTTTTCACAATGCACAATTAAGAGAACATCCATACTGCCTAATCCATGAAGAAGATATTGTAGGCATCCATTTTTAAGGAGCTACAAATGTACATACTGTAAATGTACATTAAAAAATAAATATGTATACAGATACATTGTATAGCTGCAGTGGATCAAGGGTTAAATCAATGTTTGTTTTATTAAAATTGTAATGTACAGTACCATTGTTATTTACATTATGACTACCCACATGTATTCTTCCTATACATGTATTTAATTTAATAGTTCATAGATGTTTGTAGGAAAATAAAGTTTGGTCTACTATGAATGCAAGTTGAACTATTAAAAAAAAGGCACAAATTTATATTTAAAAGGGGGGGGGGGTTAGTCTTCTGAAAGTAATTTAATTCATAGTTCAGTGAAATCATTCTGTCAGAACAATTTTAAAAAGCAAACATCCATCAACAAATTTGAAATAAAATTATAAGAATACAACCCCAAATCTGCCAAATTAACAAGAACAAAATTCAACTAAATGTGGTGTAGACCTGGAAAACAGAATATTAAGAAATTTATCATAACAAACAAACAAACAAATGTCATTCTACAACTAATGTAGAATAATACATAAAAGTGAATGTGACATACCTGTTGTTTCTGATGAAAGGATTGGTTATCCGATAGTTTCCTTGCCATCTCCTGCTGGACCTTCCTGGCTGTAGCTTGATTAGTGGCTCCATCAAGGTAATCCTGTGCGGGCTTGCTGTACATCAAGTGACGTCCCGTTGGAGGCAAGCTCTTTGGTGGACCCATCAACTCCTTCCCTCTCTGGGAATTATCTTCCAGAGTCGAGGAGCCGGAGCTTTCGGCATTTGGTTTATGGGCATTGAAGTCAATGCCTGGTTGTTTGAATTGCTTTAGCTCAGGAGGCGCAGAATGCTGTATGTGGGACTGGAGAGGCACTTGGACGCTGGATGGTCTTGCAGCCTGCTGTTGATAGCGAAAGGCATTTTCTTGTTGCACTGGCACTACTGAAGGACTACGGAAGCCAACAGGATCAGGGCGGGCTCTTGGAGTGAGCCTGCCTGATATGTCTTTGGTGTTTTTGAAGTACATGTTCTGTGGGGATGTATCGATGGATTGAGGTGAAGTTGAAGACAAAGAGTAAGGCACGTCTGACGACAAGGAGGCATTGACATCAGCTTGAACAATATGCCTGTTACCACCACCACCACCTCGCTTGTTACGCATCAAAGATGCAACATCAAGGATTGGGTTGTGGTGACTTTGATCCATATGAGCATTGAAATCACTTTGGTCTTTAGTACTATTTCCATTACCAAATCCGCTATCACTGTTACTGCTGTTGGTACTGTTACTTCGACGAGGACCACTGACGAATGTGGACTGACCATAGAGTTCACCAAAGTAGGACAAGTCACTCCGGTCACGGTATAATTGGGACACGTGCTGCAGGATGGGCTTGGCTGACGAGGGGAAGATGTCACAGGTGTTTGTTTCTGGGTTCGTGTTGCAAGGGACACCAAACTGCGAGATTACCCGAGCATGAACATCATGCCTTCTGAACTCTGGATCCACCATGAAAACATGGCAAGAGCTTCCAATTGGTTCGTCATCACTATCCAAGGTATCTAGGATCTCCTCAGGGTTCTGCGATGTGACGATGCCGAAGAAACGCTTGTCATCCGGACAGACACCACTAAAGGCAAGGCGTTCTCTCGGGTACACAACAGCTATGCGCTGGTTACTGTTCACGAGACGAACACCATCAGTCCGAATCTCCATCATCATAAAGGAATGTATCCTGTGCTCTTTGTGAAGTCTTCGAACACATCCTCTAATCGCATGGAGACTGGCAGTTGGAAGATTTGCAGAAGCTGGAATATCAATGGATCCAAGATACCCAACCATGGCTCTCATGTGAAAGTTTTCATTGTTCTCCATCAAAGAAGCACCCAAGCTGTGCCCCTGGGACACACTAGACACATTTCGACTGGCATTTCCTTGAAGCGACGTTGACTTGTGCATACCCCTTGAGGTATCATGACTGGTGACATTTCCTGGATACATCAAATGACTCAGTTCAACTGGGGATAATGGCCGCATGTCTGGGTCATTATCATCATAAGGATTCTCTCGAATGTAGTAGCTAGTTGGAGTAGGTGTTGAAAACAAACGATTCCTTGGGTCATTTTGCCTCCTGGGTTTTCTGGTCTTAGGTGGTATGTTCATCTTTTCAACACCTTTTCCATTCCAATAGGAGTAATCGTAATTAGGTGATCTTTTGAGAAGCAACTCTCCATTTCCTGGCATATTGAGAGGACTCAAATGACCTGGTGCAAACTTGGAAGCGCTTATCTGGACGTCTGCCTGGATGTGCTGTACCTCGGCTCCTCTAAGCATTGCTTGAGGCATGTCTGCATGCATAGAGAAGGAATCAAGAAGAGCACCCTGCTGCATCTCTTCCACAACCATTTCAGCGCGTGGTTTATTCCCAATCATCGACAAAGGCGTGGCACTTTGCGATCTCTTAGTGTGCGGGTATCGAGTCCTGGGCATGTACACATACTCGTCATCGGAAGACTCTGAATAATCCACCTCCGCGACAGTCAGACGCAGCACCCCGGTAGTTGCTCCTATCAACTTGATAATTTGTTCATGGCTGAGACGTGTCACATTCTCTCCGTTCACTGCTATGACACTATCACCCGTTTTTATCCCAGCAATTTCTGCAGGGCTTCCGTGCAGGATGCAACTCAATACACAAGGCGACTGACCCGATACAGTGAAGCCATAGCCGTTTCGGCCTCTCGGTACTTCCACTGTTTTGAGGTTCATTGCGCTTGTCCTTGGCAGCTTTGCTTTTCTTCTGCCAGGATACATTTTTGCAGATTTGTTTGTCACACCATCATATGAAAGTGTTTAATTTGTCACCTTTTGTCTTTCACAGCAGAGAACATATTCCATCTGCATGATCTGTAACCATCACATCCACAATCATCCAAATATTCTGTTGAAAGATGAATGACTAATTCCTGATGAAATATTTGGAGTTGTTTAGAATTATACTTATGTTTTAATCAGACTAGAGTCAGAGTTGCCTATTAATTTACAGTTAGATGTCTTGTCTTTATAAATTCAAGGTATTAATTTAATACAGAAGTTTGTTCCTGTTAGGAATGATAAAGACACCTGTCATGAGTCAAAGAACTTATTCCTTCCAAATTCTTGTCCGAGCAGAAAGTGCAATGAATGAATAGTCCGTGGTTGCCAATCAATACACGTTGTTCAATAGACTGCGTTGCTTTCTTTCTAGTTTCTGATAATGGAAATAGATCATGAGCCGAAAAGACCGAAGCAGTAGAAAATCACCTGCTCAGCTCACTAGCATAGCATTGGAATCGTCAAAAATATACACAGTATAGAGCTCCACTTATAAATGAACGAGTTTCCGTCGTTGAAAACATAAAATATCTCACTGCTCAACCTCAATATCCATGATTTACAGCAAGTTGTTTCTGCGTTCCGACGGTTAACGGTAAGCAACGCAGGTGTTGTACGGCGTCGTCAGTGCACAATCGGCCGTAATGTCTCCGGTGAATGAACCTCCCGTGCCGTTCCGCTCAGGAAACCGAAGCGCTCCCGTGGCCGTGTCAGGTTGCAATTCAAATTAGGTCTCGGTCGTAAGAATTTTTCACAATTTATCACAAAATGATCACAAAACCTCAAAGTTTCTCAACAGAATCTTCAAATGGAGCATAAAATGTCACTCTGCTGTCAATGTTAGATGACTTCCCGAAGCCAAAGCGGACTTCTCCTTGGAAACACGACGCAGTCGAATTATCTACCACTTGTCTTTTGATTCTTCGTATGCGATTAACAGGTGTATGCGATTATGCACGGACTTTGATCCCTCTATACCAAATTACCCCCATTTGGTAAATGGAGGCGTTCCAACGGCGAGTCATATGGTACGCAATACGTCTTTTGATTGGATAAAGTAGTAACACAACGGAATAATTTATTCTTTGAGAGGAGGTACACACATATCGTATTGAGAGAATATAACTAAAACAATTAACAGCGTTATGTTATGGTTTCTTTTTTTTTGTTTTCTATGCTTTTCTGTTGTATTAAAATAATAATATAAACAACTTTCTTCTTTCTCTTCCTCTTTACACAACATTTTAAAACGTCTGCAAGTAGAATGTATATTTTTTTAAAGAGCAAAAAGTTATGACTTTGTAATAGATCTAGGTAGACTTTTTATTGGAAAATTGCTTTACTCTATAAAAATTTCTTTCACAATGAATTGTAAACATAGATTTTCAAAGAGAATGCTCCCAATGTGCTATTTCAGGATTTTTCTAATCTGTAGTAATAGAGAAAAAGAACAGAGTGGTAGACAGCCAGAAACATAGATTGGTAGACAAGTAGAGTCTAGAGAGAGAGAGAGAGAGAAGGGGGCGGGGTTAAGTTTGAAGTGATTTCTGTTTAGTTATAAACACAGGTCAAAAAATGAAAAAAAGAGATGCACTAAATGAATACAGAAGTTTTCATTTTGTTTTAATCTTCATAAATTAAAGTTTCTATTATATTATCATTATCATTCAGTCTTCACATCTAAATGTTCATCTCCACAAAATTCTCTTTACACTTTGTATATACAGGGCAGTTTATATATCCGCAGCTATTGAACTCAAAAGTAATGCATTATATATCACAAACAGTTTGTTACACATCCTACTGTTTCTCATTGTTAAGCTAAGCTTGACATTACATCAAAGTATTGGCAATGCTTGACAAAACTATGGGTTCAACCAAAGCAAATGTCTAGAACTCATGTTCTAGATGACAGCTTTTGTAGCACTGGTATGCACCTTTGCTCAGGTGCTCACGGCGCTTGTCCACAAATTCAACATTCTTAGTCAGTGCAAGGAGATTCCTTGGTTAGTGTGTCAAATTGAGATAACATGTATTTTCCATTAGTCTTTCTTATAGCATTATTATTCTTGATATGATGGCATGGCCTTTTTCTGTAAGTATTTTTTGGAGAAAATGGGCAAGGGTAATACTATATACATTTTTTGGAATTACGTACTTAGAACTAGACAAATGTATGAATTACCCCTATTTCAACAATAATCTACATAAATACAGGATCTAAATGAGATACCCTCTGAATGATCTATCCTCTAAAAAAATCTTTCAAAATCCCATAATGACCAATTCCCCTCAAAACAGAAACTCTCACAGGGATAAAAAGGGACACAGATTTTCCTGACCTAAACATAATTGCTCTTGTATTCACTCTCTTTAATTCACAAACATAAAAAGGGGGAACAACGGAATCAACCCCATAATTACTCATCCCCCGATTTAATGATTTTTTTTTCTTTTTTAAAGATTAGGAACAGTTAGACGTTTCATTGACCATGCATTTTGTAAAGAGGTGCACCTACCCCCCCCCCCCCCCCTTCCCCTAAATCATATGGAAATACAAAAAGAGGGCATATGCCTTTATTACCAATATATGCACTATAACAGTACATGTATTAACCTTCATTACATATCAATCCCCTAAATTTACTTAAGATTTCAATGACACATTATGTATTACAGGATATAAAGCAATGGGGGAAGTTATAGAGCACTGGGTTGTATAAGTGTTTACCGATCCTTTTCTTATACTTTCCCAGATTACACAATATAATTTGTGCTTAAGCACAAGATAGGATTTAAATGACCATTTACCTTTCTCATCTTTTCAGAATAGCTTCTTTTGTGGGTAGGGTATAGGGGTAAGCTTTTGACGAGATGAAATGGTTTTATCGCTCTTAGATAAATCTTCGGTATTGTACTTAGCTAGAAGACTGAGTCTCATGAGCACTGAATATTACTTGCTATCGACACTCAAAACATTTCCTTTCTTCATGCACTGTATGAAATCAAATGTTTTTACTAGATATACACATTATTTGTAATTTATAGAATGTAAATCAATTACATTCACAAAATCATATGATATACAGTGTACATCAGTAGATATGCATTATATTCCTCTCCTGGCTCATATCTTCAAACTCTGTACCTCAAAACTTTCCTGACGTAAACTGGGGAGTAGTTCTAGTGTGATTCAATTTGGATCTACCGTGAAATAAATGAATAATATATTATTACCACGAATGCTCCAGCCTTTATTTCATCCAAGATAGAGAATTTGGTTAGGGTCGCAATTGAGTTTCAAAGTAGGTATAGAAAGTGTGTCTATTTGGTCCAGGTATGCAATAAAAGTCTAATTTAGTGTTTAATTAATATAACCATAGTCCCAATGTGGGATAAAGGCTTGAATGAATTTAACTGCTTGTCCTTTATAAACTTCCACACATAAACTGAGTCTGCCCCAAATTGTGTCTGATCATATTTTTTTTGAGAGAGGAAAGAAAAAACAAGAATCTAAGCCCACTACTACTGACTGTTTGCTGAACAAAAGGTTTATTCCATAAGTACATCATATCCGCCTCTCTTACAGAGGAGACAGTGTAAGCTGTTCTTACAGGTGAGACTTATACTAAGAAGATTCACGCAGGATTACAGCTTTCTTTGAATTCACTCTGCCTAGGACACTGCAGGACCCTAATCCACTTCCACAAATACCTTGCAATATTTGAAGAGTCATCTTAACGGTATTTGAATTGCGATCTTTGAAATACAAATCTAAACAGGATGCTGATGATTCAGTATTCCATAAAATGCTATCTCAATGGTATTTGAATAATTGCCATCTTTAAATACTGGTAGTGCTACTATATTGATTACATATTGGGAAAGGTGCGTAATACTGGTGGAGACATGGAGTGGGGGAATTCCCATATTTCTTTTGTAAGGGACAAGAATAATAACATGAAATTTATACTGTGCGATATATTTCATGGCAATGTTCATGGCTTTTCTCCTCTATTCAATTACCGGTGCGGAGGCTTGTATGACTTGGCTGCTACATCTCACTTAAAGATATAGACCGGTAGTGGTAAAATTGCGGTTCAAGGGTTTTTGGTGCAAAATATCCATTCAATATTGTTTAAATATTGCCTTCAGAGGTTTAGATGGCAATAGTTCAACCTAAATGTTCAACAACAAAAAGCAGGAATATATGCCCAATGTGCAATATGTTGAAGTGCATTTGCGATATCTATCCAGCCTGGATCGATATGATAATTTACCAAATATATCAATTAGTATAGAGGGTTTCGCGGCAAAATTTGTATTGTCAAATATTATTCAAAACATATTCTTTCACATGATTAGTAATAAGAGCTTTCATTTCATTTTTTGAGAGGGGGGCATTTCCCAAACTGGTCTATACGTTTAAAGGGCAGGTCTACTACAAAAATAACTTACTTAATCAAAAAAAAATTGAGCAAAATCAGATAACTTACAAGAAAGTTATGAATTTTTATTGACATGAAAAACTTTGAAAATCACAAGACAAATTGGCAACTCACTGACGAGTCTGTGACGTTATTGCCTCACTATCCACTTATTTTTTTCTTTATATTGACAATGTAAATTTCTAGTTTTCCCCCTACAAATCTAATTTCCTCACACCAGCATCCATATTGATAGTTATGTTTTTGTGTGAATACACTAATATAGAGTAATTTTTTTCAGTTAAATCATGAAAAATTCAGAAAAAAGTATAAATTCTTCAAAGTTCACAAATGATTGTGTGAAATGTCATGCATGCAATATGATACAAATTTATATAGCCAGGGCAAAGGCATGGGAAATCAAGTTCTTGAGAATAAAAAGGTAAATCAATGGGATTAAAGTCCATAAAGCAATTGATAAATAGTGAGGCAATGACGTCACAAACTGAAAACCAAATTGGCAATTTGTGTACCGGTAGTAATTTCGATTGTTCCATACTTTTTCAAAAATTCATAACTTCCTTATTAGTTATCCAAATTGACTCAATTCTTTTTGCTCCGTTTCTCTTGTTTTTCTGCATCTATTAAAAGTAAAGTATTTTTGGAGTGGACTTAGCCTTTAAAGTGCCCAAAAAGGCAACATGTAACACATTGACCAGTTTCAATTTGGAAATAGAAAATGCCTATCAACATCTCAATGTTAAATTAATATTCTTCATCATTTGTATTTAAATGCCGAAATCCCTAAAACATCGTCAACAATTCTTTTAACTGAAGAAATCTTTTGATCGAATTGACCACACTGTCGCTATAAGCAAGTTGCATCTAATAGGGGTCCAATCCTCAGCAATAACTTGGATATGCGACTTCCTTTCCTGTCGTATACGCAATGTGTTCGTTACCATGGTGTTCTGTCTGATTCATGTACATATGTACCATTAATGCTGGTGTCCCTCAGGGCAAAAAACTGGGTCCTTTAATATTTTTAGTTATGATTAAAGACTTTAAAATAAATAATAACATACGGTACACACTTATAAATATGTTGATGAATTTAATAACAATGATCGAGTGTCGCAAACTTGTCAGAGAAACTCAAATGCAGGAAGTTGCTGATAGCCTATCTGTCTGGGCTGATGTTAAAAAATGAAATTAAAATGTTTGAAAATGGATATTTGTTTCTCTAGGGCACCGGTTAATCAAACAGGTGTAATTTTAGAGAATTGTCGATTGGCAACAGTGAGTGTAGTTAAATTGTTAGGAATTACCATACAAAATGATTTAAAGTGGGATGCTCGCATATTAAAAGACATAAAAAAGGGCAAGTGCAAAACTATACATGCTACGTTCTTTGGTGAATATGGTCTTCCAAAGGAAGAACTTATTACTGTTTTTGTTGGTTATATTCGCTCTTTACTTGAATATGCCAGTCCTGTTTGGAGTGGAGAACCCACACAAAATCAAAACGCGATATTGGAGAGAATACAAAAGAGAGCGTTGCAGATAATGTTTCGTAGGGATTATAATGACTACCGGTATACAAATGCACAGTGAACAATCTCAATTCCAAAGATTAGGAAAAAAGACGCCAAGATTTATGTGTTATGTTCTTCCAAAAAACAATATAACTCGCTGATCAATTTAAACAATTTCTCCCACAAACACAATGAACTAGAACACTTAGAAATTCAAAGAAAATTCTGGATTTTAAATTGAAAACCAGTCGCATGCAAAATAGTCCTATTCCAAATTTGATTCGCCTGTATAATAACAGTTAATTTGCTCAACTTTATATCCATTGTAATGATTTATCATTTTAATATCTTGATTCATGTACATTCTTTTAATAATTTTGTATGTCGTACAAATGTTTTAATGATATTGGATTGCTATTTCCTTTAAATTTGTCCAACTACCGGTAGTTCAATTAAATACTACTAAATGTTCATATCACTGCTCTTGCCGCTATCCTTGATTATTTTACCACCATTAAATACAATATTGTAATATGAAGAACTGTTGTGTAATTTATATAATTATGTTTATACATATTCTTTATGAAATTATGTACATTAACTTTTTTTAAATTGTTTATGGTATTTAGGCAGTAGTAACATGACACGTTAAAAAAAAAACACTAAATGTCCTGTAAGTTTATTGTATATAATAATTTTTGTATATATATATTTCCAATTTGTGTAATTCATGTGCAACTCAGTTCGAAACTGCCATTCATGAAAGATGCAATAAAATACCAACATCACCAATACTATGAATTCAACAAATTAGTAGATTAGGTATCCTATGCCAAAATTCCCTTGTCAATATCCTACTAAACATTCCATGTACAAATGTAACTTTTGATGATTTGATGACACTTGACAATGTACCCAATGCATATACCCTACCAACAAAACAATCATTGGCAAGACTGTCAACCCATAAAATTCTTTATCATCTAGACCACATTGTCTCAGGACGTTTAGCAAGATAAAACTAAACAAAAACATGAAATAGAAAACTAGAAACATATTTGCCAAGAAAAAAGGAATTCATGATTTAATGTGAAGACCAGAACTTCATAAAAAGGCACAAATATCCATACATACAACATTCTTACATTCAATATTCATTACATATTGGATATCAGGCAAGTCATATTTCACAACCCTTTTTCCCCACCCAATTCAACGGCATTAGTCACATCTTCATCGGTCTCAATGCTTCCTATGAGTTGGTGTATGGATAGATATAGTAAAATCTGTATATAAAGACCAATCAAGAAAGACACACAATGTGGTCTTTACAAGCAGGTGGTCTTTCTGTTCAGCTTTGAAAACTATTTTAATTTTTTTTTTTTATTGCAGATTTCAATGAGGACACTAATTCAGGGGGGAAAAAAATGCATTCTCTTATGGACAGGTGGTCTCAAAATCAGGTTCCACTATAATACAATGTACATAGATGTATGTGTGTATCTGGATTCAAAAGTGTATAGTCTTCAGTACAATTACCATTCCAGCTATACTATGGAGATGTCGTGGTCTAGAGGACACATCACTGGACTGTGATTCATGTGGATTGCGGTTCGAGTCCTGCTGTGGCACTAATGTCACAAGACATTATTCTACATTTGCCACAATCGACCCAGAGGTGGTAAATGGGAACTGGGCAGGAACTTATTCCTTGAAATGCTAGAGAGCCATAATGGCAGCCATGCTAAAGCTGGGGTAAGAACTGCGGAGAGCCAGGAGTGTCAAGTCTGACAGCCATGGGGGCTATACAAGGACCCACTAATATTAATATAATTATAATTGGTAGTGTGTTTCCACAATTCAGATTCAAAGACAACCACAGTTTAACTCTCAGATGAGAACAGGCCTTTCTTGAGGAAAACTGAAATGAGTCTTTCAGCTTTAAAACATCAAAGAATTTTCAAAAGAAAAATATGGATTTCTAATGACATTATTAACTACTAAACTGTACTCCTTAAATTAAGAGCATGATGATGTCATATGAGGGGGTAAACAATATCATCAAAGGGTGATGATCCAAACATCACAGAGCTTTCATCTTCACTACAGCAGTCTGAGAAATTATTGGTTTATCTAAAAGTAATGCAACAGAGCAAGGTTATATAGCTCTTTAATGCCTTATTGAGAATGTCAACATAAATAAATTTACGTAATACAATTTTAATTCATTGGCAGTAAAGATATGTTTTGATTTCATGCAATTATGTGACAAGACAATCTATATTATTGGTTGGCAGAAATCTATAGTTCATCTTCACCATATATATCTGAGTTTTCTACATACCCTACTACATCAATTATATTTTCTATTATCATTACTTGCTTTAATAAAAACAGCAACAACTGCCTGACTCATAAACAAATTAAAAATAACTTTAAAAATTACTTATTTTTTCATGTTCACAGGCACACAACTGACATAAGTTTTGCACTTGAGATATCAAATACAAAACACATTCCAATATTACATAGAGTACGATCTGTATATCCTCATAGAGAATTTTACACCACCGTTGCTTTCATGAATTTTACCACTCAAAAAATTCACAAAAGTTTCTGGTTTTTCAGTCCTAGGAATAACATATTTCAAACATTTCTATATCGTTTAAGTATTTTCTTTCCCTTGTGTCAGACTGCCTACGGAATCCCGTAAAAAAGGCATTCAAAACATCTTTACCATGCAGAAAATTATCAGTTAAAATAATATGCAAATTATTTTCCCCCTAAATTGCAATTTTCAAGGACTACTAGCTTTAATCTAGATGGACAGTCATACAGGGTGAAGGATCATCTAAGTCAAAGGTCATCCATGTCGGAGGTCACCTGGGCCAATGGTCACTTTGCTTCATGTACCTACTGGACGCCAAACAAGAAATCCAGATCTGCACCACTGAGTCTCTCCTGGGACCTGGAGGGATACAATAAAATAAAGGAGCAGTCAGAGTCAGAATGAAAAGGGGAAGAAAAAAAATAATCTGTTAAGAGCCAGAAAGGAGTCAATTCATCCTTTAACAATGATTTAATGCCCTTCTGGATCTCAGCAGATGACATGATAACAACAAAGTGGCTGATTAAAATCCACTCAAATCATTCAATAAACATGTATAGGGCATTTCATATAATGGCTAAGTCATGCAGTTACAACGACATCACAGTGAGCTCCACATGTATTTACACAACTCAAACAATAACAGATTGCTTGAAAATATAGTACCGGTATGTTATAAATAAAAGATAATTGAATCACTGCTTGATGTCATAATTCATCATAGGCCTTGTTGTTTTACGTGGCACATTAGATAGCTAGATGAAATAGTTTTTTACAAAAGTTTCATGACATTTATCATATAATCCCACAATCTAGCTACTGTACAATACACCTACCCTGTGAGTACATCATTGGCAAGCTTTTTTTTCTTTTTCTGTAGCTCTGATATTCTGTACTCAATCGTGTCAGAGCAGATAAACTTGTGGATGTGGACTTTCCTGGTCTGCCCTATTCTGTAGATCCTATCACAGGCCTGGTCTTCTAAGGCTGGGTTCCTACAAAAACAAACAAACAACAAAACAAAACAAGTAAAAAACAAACTCAGATAATGTTAAAGTAGATATTCATTGATTTTAAATACTAACTTTATTTTCATTATTGCAAAGTTGAAACTTTGATTCGACAACGTTATCTAAATTCAATGCTTGGAAACATTCGAAGCAATGATTATTATTAATTACAAAACGCTTAAATACAGCCCCGGCATAGCACCTGAAGAGCTCTCCGAACGCTGCTGAAATGTGTGAGATCACAGTATGGACATGACTTGCACAAGCAGACGATGTCCCATGACATCTCACATATTTTCAGTGCCTGTGTTTTCATCTTTTCTCGAGTTCTTTCTCTTACTTCACTACCGTCAGGCTAAATGTATAATCTATCGCCTCACTCTAAACCCCGCGCATGGTTTTATTTTGATGAAAAATGCAGCGATACAAAAATAAAGGAATCTGTCGCTTGTAAACAAAATAAGACGCCATTGTATATTCAGCTGCACACACCGGGGTATGTTCGGCGTTTCAAGAGGGAACAAATGCCGTCCTTAATATCATTCCGGGGGGTTTTCAATTTGAAAGTCTGGTTTCTTTGATTGTTAATTAACCCCTATCCTGTGTATTTACAAGCAAAAGATTTTAGTTATCAGAGTCAGATCATATCCCCTTTTAAATGGTTTGACATGCCATTACATACTAAACTCATTATAATTTGAGAAATAATAGCTTTGCAATTATGTTCATTCTCTATGGGATGTCGTCTGCTTGGGCAGTGTTGGTCCATATAGTGACGTCATTAAAACATTGTTATTTTTTCCGGCGAATCTCTCGTATATCCCAGCTGCTATGGAGGTGGTTGTGTTGGTATTTTTATAAATCACCCGATATGTAGTTGACCTAAAACTTGTACGATGGCCATCTGTTAGCTTACCAGTTTCTAGTGAAACATTAGTTGAAATATTTGTGATCTTCTTTGAATTTCACCTTTAAGAACTGGTCATGCAATATCATTTTAAAAGAATTTACACAAGTCATCTGAGGTAGTTATGTTGATCCCTTTAAAATGTACCCCCCCCCCCTCTTTTTGTTGTTGATTTGAACACCCCTCACAACACATGGAACAACCCAATCCCAAATGAGAGATAAGAAATTGGTAGCTGCTGGGCTGACATCACATTGTTTTTGCTGATGCTACATACAACAGTCTACTGAATTTGACACTCTCATTTCATATATTTTTAGGTAAGAAATTCAACTTCTTATCAAATTTATTTTGTAACAAATTATAATATTGTTTTACTTGTACTAAGATATTGATTTGTGATAATTGTATTGTGTGAGAGTCTGTACAAAGAGATATTATGAAGTTGTTTCAGAGAAAGTTGTGATTGCTTTGTTCATCATCATCATCATCTGGTACAGAAAGAAGGCGAACGTTGGATACCGTACGTGTGGGAAGAATTGGTTGGTATTTTTAGTCGGCAATCTCTATCGTACTGAATTCCAAACAAGGCAAAAATGGCTGAAGAAAATCTCCCAAAATTTCAACTTCTTGATGATGATCAAATGCAAGACTTGCTGACAGCAAGAACACCAAAAAGGGTACGTGTAATTCTCCATTAATTTTTTTCAAGAGATTCAAACTAATATTGCTCGTGATCCTGAAGGTGATACTCAATAAGTGAGGTGTCATATGAAAGCGCAGGTTTTTCTCCATATTCCCCACAGGGCCGGCCCACCCCCAAAATTGTAAAAATATCTTGCTTAGACTAGAATCTAGATCTAGTCTACTCTCAAAGATACACTCATAAAAAACAACCGTGCAGATAAACTAGAGAAAGGCCAAGGTGGTGTCATAAGTTGACTCTTTTTTTTTTGGCATATAAAAGTATTAATGACTGCTTTAATATTTGAGAAATAGTTGTTTTTATACGCACAATTGTAACCTTCCTTTGAGCGTATAAAAACAACTATTTCTCTTTAACCAGTCATTAATACTATAATATTATTAGAAACAGAGGGGGTGTGTGAACAAGCCTAATTGTACATGCAATTGATCAATTTTCTATATATTATTGACCGCTGTGTTTTCTATACTAACGGATATTCGTTCATTAATCTTTATTTGTAAAAATTCTCTTACCAGTGCATATCGAGGAAGAAGAGATGATTACCCCCGCTGAGGTTCAAGGTAGCCCCGCCGGTCCTCAACGACACCAACATGATCTGGCGACCCCTGGGGTTGTAATTAAAATCCTTCAGTGCCTCATCTCGTTCATTGGGTGAGACATCACCATCGATACTCCAACACTTGAAGCCTGCCTCCTTGAGATGGTGTTCTACCACATCCAGCATTCCAGTCCATTGGGAGACAAGGACGCTCTTCTCAGGGCGGTCTGCAGGACCTGCGGCACGGATCTTCTCTAGTAGATTGATCACAAACTTGATCTTTACAAAGAGAGGCAAAGATATGGTTATATTAATAGTAACAAACGCATACATTTAATGCTGGCCATGGCATGAAACAATTACAATTATAGCATGTATCGGTATGTATAATGTATTATTTGCACTCTTTTCCCCCTAGCCCCTCAAAATAAAGAAGCTTTTGTGAGAATTCTAGCAGAATTCTTACAGTTAGCTGCTGCAAGTATTCATCCCTATTTTGGAGTAATAAGCAAATTAATCTATTCTGCAGTGAACAGGTTACAGGTTAAAGTACAGTCTGTCTGCTTGTACCCTTTGGTAATGTATTAATCCTCAATTACCAAGTCCCATAGATAAAACCTTTAGCTGTAAGCCCCTTTACAGCTTATTGATTAACTTAAATGTGTTTTCCTTCAAATCAATCAATCAATCAAATATCATAAATATTAACATAAAATACAGATTTCAAACCCTGGTCCTTGAGCAGCTGGGATCATACATAGTAATCTATGGCTTGATCTGATCCGACCTGACCACTAATCATCCGAACCCTGATCTATTTTTTACCTTCATATCATCATAATCATTCTAAATTAGCCTAAAATTGAGCATTAGTATTCTTAACTCACCTTTGTACTTAAGAAGCTGGGTGGATACAAGGTCATATCACCCAGACCCATCTCCTTCATCTGTCTGACCAGGTCAAGCTCGATACCGTCCATCTCACAAGACTCTTGGTCTGGGAGCTACCGGTACATAGGAAAAGTGAGTACGAATCAGATTAAGTTGTTACTCTCTGAATATAAAGTGAAATTAAACAGCACACATATCACAAAGGTCACTCATGTTTTAAATGTATGAAACATCTATTCTTATACATTAGAAGAAGGAAAAATGTAGAGTTCCGCACAAAATTATTATCACGTATATTAAGCCTTCATTATATTCAATGTGCCTTCTCTTATATATATATATATATATATATATGACAACATATGCTTTATTAACATACATACATGTTATTGTGGTGTTCAACTTAATAACTGAAATGTCTACAAATACATTCCATGTTTCATTCAGTGTATAATTTAAATCATTTCATCAAATTGGCAGAAATAGTTACACTACAACAGAACACAGGACTCCTAACATTAAAGCTGCAACACACATAATAAATCCACTTACCTCTTTGAGCAAACTAAGATGACAGCAGCATTGTCTCAAGCGTAGCAGGATGACCAGGATGTTAGTCTTGTTAGACGTGGATCTGGAGTTGGTAAGGTGGAGATAGGGAAGAAGTGGTATGCTGAATTGTTTTAAAATCATAATAATAAGTAAATGTATACCATAAATATCTCCAGCCCCATGTTCATAAAACATTATTAAGCTGGTTGTCAACTAATTACATACTACATAGGCTGTAGTACATAGTTAGTTGACAAAAAGTAAGGTTTCATGAATATGAGCCCTCTATTTTGTAACAAAGAAAAGATGGATCTCAAATTCCAGATTTAAAGATTCCAAAGGGAAAATGAAACAAGTTGTGCACTATAACTCCTATGACATTATTTAGTAGGATCCACAAGTAACGATGTGTTCACAGTAATAATATTCCTAAGTTCAACCTTTGAGCCAACACTCTACCTAACCTATGCCTTAAACCTTATCAAAACCCATTCTGGATAATTCCATTAAATTAAAAAACAAACAACAAAAAAACAATCATATATGCATCTTAATGTTGAATTGCGCATATTTTACAATAAAAATGATACAAATAACATATAATAGAATACATGTACCATGTGTAGAAGTGAAAGAAAAAATACATTACGCTGAAAAATATATACGTAGCCCTTACGTAACACCATAACATCCTTTTTTTCACAAACATACTACAAAAGATACAGGCAAAGTGCTAATATTATGATGGGGGTAATTATGATAAAAAAAAAGTTGAATACCATGATTTACGGCTTATTGAGGGGTTTGTTTTTAAAAAGCATGGTAGAGAAGTACAGACTGAAGATGAGATAATGAATAATAGCTTGACCTGTCTGTCAGCAAAGAGTCAACTGCATTTACTGTGGTTATTACCTGGATTGCTGGAGGAACTGATCATAGATCTTTCTCTCTTCATCTGACAGAGATATCAGGTGAGTTTTTTTCTCTTTCTCAGGCAGAGAAACCTACACGACAAAACAAGGAAGGTTTATTCAGTAGGTGTCAAAGTAGCATTTATAGCAAGCCTTTTAGGATGAGCCATTTTGAGATTGAAAATTATAGCTCAAAGCCCCTTGATTAATTTGCTTCATTAGATGATCTGTTATGTAACATAACAAATATGTGTATCAGCACAGTAGAGGATTATTTTATTACATCATTATGCTTCAGGTTTTATCTAATCAACATAAAAGTATATACAATAAAAAGAATAATGCCGAAGATCACCATACATATTCCTGCATCATGATATATGGTGTGTCATGAAATGGGAAGACATAATCATCTGTTCATGAAATAATGAAAATGTTTACAATTCAAGGGTGATTGATATTATGTTAGTCTTTGACCCCTGTTAACACTCACGATTGGATTCCCACTACTAGTCTGTTGGTCCTTGGTTCTCCGCAAGACTAAACTCTTGACCAGTTTTTGAAGTGTCTCTGATTTGGCTGAAATACAAACAAAATTGTCATGTATCAAAATTGCACTACAAGAACTAAAAAAAATGGAAAACAACAGTACAAGGTGCCTTTTTTGCATACAGAAATAATTTCAGTTATTTTATTTTATTTCCTTTCATATCCTCTCATCAATCATTTTCATTCAGTTCCATTTCATTTCATTTCATTTCATTTCAATTCATTGCATTTTAGTATCATTACTGGTATTTTTCAAAACAAACAATGTAACCACTTCAGGTTTTACATTGTCCTTATATACATGTAGCAAAAAAAGATAGAGATTCTTCTAATATATTGCCAATTTATAAGTAAGCTCTATGCTAACATGCATTGGCATTTGAATTCACTTGGATAACAGTAAAAGTTATTATTTCTGTCTCCTTAATGACACAATTACATGCAAAATCCATCCAATGTAAGATGAAATATCCATGCAAGCACAAAAACAAACGAGCCTTTCCCACATGTGTCTATAATTGATCACATCTTTAAAATGAACTCAGTACTTACTCGATCCTGCATTCTCTACTTCGCTCTTCCACACCTCATATTCATCAAATGGTGTAAATTTCAAGAATCTAATCAATACAAACAAAAGTAATTTTTTTTAAAGAGGTCCTGATGCAATGGCATAGCTACACACAAAAAAAATGATGTGAAACCGCTTAACTTTGGACTGGAAGGAGAGGGGATTAAGGAAATAATATCTATCATATTCTTAGCAATATAAAACATCTTTTTTATTTCATTATAAACAGATGAAAACATATTCCGTAATTTGAAAGGAGAGGGGATTAAGGTCAATAATCTTTGATCTGTCACTGCTGCACTTCAAGTCAGGGCCCATTTCATAAAAATTGTTATCAATAGTAAGTTACTATAACTGTTATAAGCTGCTGAAATTGTGGCATTTGATTGGCTGAGAGCAAATTTGTCATAGATATTTAGCATTTTTTATAGATAAAATAAATTCTCACAGAATCCAATGAAACTTACACTGAATGTTCAAGATTAAAAATAATTGACATGTGTCAACAAAAATTGGTAGAAAAATTATAGTGGATGAGTAATGAGCATACAAAGATGAGGTAATCCTGGTAAGTAGGCCCGACACCATGTGCGTATCACAGGCCACGATGTGCACATGAGAGTTGTGGTCTTATCAAAGATAATGCCCAGTAATTCAGAATAATCCAGAATAAATCATAGCAATTTTTTCTCAAAATATTATTCCCATACCAGAGCTCAAGATTAGCTTTAAGGTCCTCCTGGCCCCAAATAGATGATAACATATCTAGTCCTGTAGAAGTTTTTCAGACCTGGAAAAGTGGTTAAGTACAAGGTTTTCTTGTTGATTTGTGTTCTAGATGGGTATTGAAGTAAATTCAGCTTGGCAACCTTGCATTACTCACAAATAAATACTGGTGTCATAAATGAATCCCTCGTCATGGAATATCCTTGAAAAATTACATTATCCATGTTTTCAGGCTTCCTGGGTTAAGATTAGCAACATTATCACCTACTGCACATATATGCTAATTAGATTATTATGCTAATTAGGCTAATTATACTACATCTACATTATTATTATTATTATTATTATTTATTCGGCAAAGAAAAACATTACATATCAGTGTACACAATACAAAATAAGACATAATTATCAACCATTGGAACGCCAGGGACAGAAAAAGTTAACTAAATTACTGTGGCATAAAGCCTCCTGTCCCAATTCCAATGGATGATTTACATAAAACAGAAATAAGAAGTTTAGCCTTGGGTTACCTTCAAAGTTGAAAAGTAATTAGGGCCTATTAAACAATTATAAGTGATGTAATTAAATGCAAGATGCGGTATCATTATTTCAGATACATTATATAGTATTAATCAATTACAAACAAATGTATGGGCTAATTAACATGAAATATCTTCTCATGAATTAATAATTAATCTTTCAAAAGGAATTTACTATGTTGCTTTACACCATTTTTAAGCTTTAACGCTAAATAATGATAATGAAGTCCATATTGTACATATTATGCTAATTATGCTTTTTAAGACAAATGTATTACTTATAAATAAAAATTGGTGTCATAAATGAATTTCTTGTCATTGAAAACCCTTGAAAAGTCGTATTATCCATGTTTTCAGGCTTCCTGGATTGAGATTAGCAACATTATTACATATTGCTCATATGCTAATTAGATGATTATGCTAATATGGCTATTAAAAAAGTTGCCCAAGGTTGCCAAGCTGGCAACCAAGCTGATTTTAATTCAATACCCATCTAGACCACAAATCAACAAAAAAACCTTGTACTTATCAACTTTTCCAGGTCATGTACATGGTTTATGGTACCGTCTACTGGACTAATCCCTCATTTTGGGCATACACATATATGTGCGCCAGGTCAATAATCATGGATCTGCCACTGCTGCTGCACTGATTTGCTGTAAATTATGCACATTTCATCAGCGGCTTGAAACCAATAAAACATTTTAAAGAGCAATATACCTGATGAGTGAGAACATATCCATGGTGCTGTTCTGGATCAGGTAGCCTGTTACAGCCCACCGTGCCCGGGCCCTCAGCCGACAGATAGCGATGGCCGTCTGGCTCTTATGGTTCTTGATGTTATCGGCCTCGTCCAAGATGATGCGATCCCAGAACACACGCAGGAGGGCTGGTTGATTTTTGCTACCAGTCGATGCTTCATCATTCTGTTAAGAATGATAAGCAAATTAGGTCTTTAAAGGGTACTCCAACCCTTGTAAGAAGTATTTTTGGATGAAAGCATAAAAATAACAGAAATAGAATGGCAAAAGTTGAAATAAATCAGACCAATAGTAAGGAAGTTATGAATGTTTAGAATATGAGATCACTAGGTCTATGCGAATCTCAAGTTGTTAGTTTGGTTAGTGAATTGTGACGTAGGTCGTGGATAACTCTCCCATTTGCTGTGCACAAAAATATCACTAAAGTTCCTTCTCCCTTGGAGCACTGCTCAAAATATATTATAGATAGCATATTATTATAGGTCCTCCAAAAAGAAAAGACCCTCCTGAGCCATGAATTTTAATATTTTTTAAAGTTGAGTCATTTTATATGTTGGAACAGATGTGGAAGTAGTCAGGTACTACATCATATAACATTACCGCTTCAGCCAATTTGAAGTGCCCATACGTATAGTGATTACAACTTTCAAAAATTCATAACTTTCTTAAGTTTAGTCAGATTTATTAACAAAAGAGTCTTGAAATCATATGAACATGCAAATAATTTGAACATAAATGTCTTGTGAGACATATTTCCTGTGCTGCTACAATCATTTGATAAAAATGAACAGAAAGAAACTTATACAGTGCAATCATACAGTAATGATGGCGGTTTCTTATACAGCACATGTATTCACCATGTATAATTTGGTGAAATACACTTTTTGGAAGACTGCAGGTAGTAAAGAATTTGTCACATTTGACCACTTGTTCTTGATTTGAGTGGATCTACTCCCTTTATTTCTACATAGATTCAATCCCTAAGCTCTTACCTTTGCCATTTTCACTCCCTTGTCATCATTTGGAAGCTGTTTAAGATCTCTGCTAACCAGGTAATATATGGAGTAAAGACTATCTTATATATTTGGCCATTTGCTTTTAAATCTAGAGGATCTGCTCCTTTTTCTCTCAACTACGCAAGCTCTTACCTTCACTGGTTCCTTGTCATCCTCCAGAAGATCGCTCCTAATCAGATTATAGGATGTGAAGACCATGTCATACTTGGCTAGTTCCTCTGGATGCCTCTCCCGATTTGGTCCATGGTACGAATGGATGTGTAGCTGGCCAGGCATGCAACAACGTTCGACCTTCTTGACCCACCGGTCAATGAGGGATGCCGGACATATCACCAGGGTGCAGGTGGATCGTATAAAGGCCTCATTCATCTCACGAGAGCTCAGTGGTGTTTCTGATTTGTATAAAAGTAAAAAAGAAAAGCAAATATTACAACCATTTTATATCCACAATTATACCTCATCACTCTCTCTCTTTCCCTCTGTCTCATTTTCCTAATGTCAGTGTAACCAACAGACAAATGTACGGATAACCCAAAAAACATAATTCCTCCCACACCATCTTTGGCGGGCAGAGGCAAAAAACATCTTCATCATAAAAAAAATTGTTGAAGATGTTCCCAATGATACCTACCTGTTCCTTTTTGTGCTTTTCTTGCTGCCACTGCCTTGATTACAAGTGAGATCACGGTCTCGTTTTGACCAAGCCCCGGTTCATCAGCTGAAAATAGAAACAACAATGCATACTAGCCTTTAGGAATATCAAGCACTGGAAAATGGGATTTTTTGCTACAAATCCCTAGGGCAATACATTGGGTTTGATTACAAATTATAGAGATATGTTATCACACATGACTGCCTTGCTTTAGTAGTGGGTGTAATGGGCTAGGTAGAAGTACCTACATATGATTTTTATCTCATAACAGGTACAGTAGTCCCTGAACTCATCAAGGTTAACTTTTTTTTGCAGCTATGTCAGTTTGACAATTCTTTTCAAATCAGCAATACTTATGTATGACAAAAACTCTACTTTTCTGGGGCATTGTGAAAGTATTGATGGTAACATGTTTATTAGAATCTCAATATTCCCAAGCATCATAAGGCAGGAAGGTTGACACCTTCATCTTGACTATATTATTTAAAGGATCAAAGTTCATCCAAACATATAAGAAGACCAATCATAAGTTACATCATCAGTCATCATCAGATTCAGAGCCAAAATAGTGAAAGTCACTGACAGAACATGGGCATGAGGTTTATTGTTTGAAGAGTATACACGACAATATTTGTGACAACAAACAAGGTCAGCTCTTACCCAGAATTCCTCCACATGGACTTTCTTGTGCCTCTCTCCATAACATCCAAGCGAGGGCTTGCTTCTGATGAGGCATGAGAGTGACTTCGAGGTGGCTGGGGTCATCTGCCTCGGTCTCCTCAGATGGGCGAGTTTCAAGAGCTCTAAAAAATGCAGATGTAAAAAATCATGGAAGCTTCTACAAATGCTATCAGAATCCAATAATTTGCTCCTGAAATACAAACTAAGGATGTTGTGGTTGGCACAACAACGTTAGATTCATAACACCCCCCCCCCCCTCCCAAACAAAATAAAACCAAAAATGTTATATCCATGAATGAACAACAAAATACCTTGCATTCAGTTTTACTTTGTTATTAAACAATACTTCCTGCAAAGAATGTTAAAAGGAATTAGGCATCATAATACGTACATTGACAAATCAATAATCATTGTCCCTCCCCCACCAATGTCGCTTTATTTCTTCTTTTCGAACAAGTTCTACTAATGTATTTTCATATCAGATGCATGACTGTTTGTGTGAAAAGTTAAATCGTAAATGAACAGTATTAGTGTTGCCAATTTGAAGAATATCACATTCATTTAGCCTTTAAAAATTCCTGGTCCTCAGACATTCCATGTATGGCCAATGACAGTTATGACTTTTGATTAATGGTGCTTACTTATGAAGCTTTTCAATAGATTCTCTGATGGGAGTATACCGGTATTGACTTACTGTTCGAGGCCTTGCAGTGCCTTTGTGTATCTAGCGGGCCGAACTACCGTGAAATGTTGCTTGATAGATGGCTGTTGTAAGCTCCGACTGGAATGAGCAGCAGAGGCAACTCCTGTGAATAGTACGGAAATCACATCAATGTTCTTGATAGAGAAGGTTACACACATTATGAAAATTGAAATATCAGGAGTCAATTATTAGCACTAGTAACTTCAAACATCAACTCAACATTTTCTCAATCTTTTGAGCATTTGATCTCAAGTGGAATCAGCGCCTGACGTTATTATTGAGATTGAAGAGGGTTGATGCACACACTCATCTACATATTGACAAGGAACATACATACCTTGTGCTTGCTGTGCCATTGTGTTGCTCGTTGGCTGGAAGTGGCTGGAAATGTTGCTTGATAGATGCTTGATGCTTGTCTGTTGTAAGCTTCCACCTACCGTTATGTGGCTATAAATGAAATGGGACTATAATTATGGAGATTGAAATATCAACAATAAATTAATAGCCCTAGCTACATTTATTTTAAACAACTTAAAATTTAGCCAACCTAAAAACAATATCTGTAAGCCTTGCTAAAGTGGTAACTTCACTCACACATACATGCCAATGGATATTACAGGCATCAATAGCTAGTGCTACTATAAATAGAAGAGCCACGTATTGTTTACATATGGGGAGAGGTGCGTAATACTGGTGGGGACAAGGAGTGGGGAATTCCATAATTATTTTGTATGATGCGACAATATTGTTTATGAGATTTAAGATAAGAAATACTTAAAATATATCAAAAGAGGGCAGCATATATCCATTCATACAACATTCTTACATTCAATATTCATTACATATCGATATCAGGCAGGTCATATTATTTCACAACACTTTTTTCCCACCGAATTCAACGGTATATGGACCAATCAAGGAAGACACACAATGTGGTCTTTCTGTACAATATAAAAAAAATTCTTGCAGATTTCGGCGGCGACACTAATTCAGGAGAAATAAAATGCAGTCTTTTATGGACAGGTGGTCTAGCTGTCTATACAGGTTGCCTCAAAATCAGGTTTCACTTTACTACAATGTTAATACATGATCAGTTCAGTTCAGTTTGTTTATTCATTTCATTTTCATAAAACACACAGCAAAAGCAAATAACACTCAAGTATGTATACACTGTTGGTCATAAAGGTTGAATGTGGTCTTTCTGTACAATAAAAAAAAAAATTCTTGCAGATTTCGGCGGCGACACTAATTCAGGGGAAATAAAATGCAGTCTTTTATGGACAGGTGGTCTAGCTGTCTATACAGGTTGCCTCAAAATCAGGTTTTACTTTACTACAATGTTCATACATGATCAGTTCAGTTCAGTTTGTTTATTCATTTCATTTTCATAAAAAACACATCAAAAGCAAATAACATAAAAGTATATATACACTGTTGGTCATAAAGGTGGAATAATTTTTCTTTCCCCAATTTAGGGAATGATTTTGACAATGATTTATTCCTAATAGATCTAGACAAAAGTAGGCCTATACATTCTCAGATTTTATTGAATAATAATTTGTGAGTGTTTGTTTTGCGTGATCATACATGTTTATCTTTGGCTTGATCTGATATAACCTGATCTCTAGTCATATACTCACACTGTTCTATTTTTGACCTTTTTTTATTATGATCACAATTTTTCTAAATTCACTTAAAATTGAGCATAAGTACTCTTAACTGACCTTTGTACTTGAGAAGCTGGATTGGTAGAAGGTCGTCTTAGGATTGACCTGACCCGACCCTGGGTCACTTTCACCCAGACCCATCTCTTTCATCTGACTGACCAGGTCAAGCTAAATATCCTCCGTCACACATGACTCTTGGTCTGGGAGCTACATAGGAAAAGTGATAAGAGTACGAATCAGAATAGCTTGTCACTCTCTGAATATAAAGTGAAATTAAACAACACAAATTACATGTCACAAAGTTCACTTGTGGTTTAAAAGTTGGAAGAAAAAAATGTAGAGTTCCGTACAGAATGATTATTACTTAAATTACCTTCATTAAAGTTGATGTATCAACTTGATATATTTTATTAACATACACACATGTCATTTTGGTGTAAAACTTAATAACTGAAATGTCTAAGTATGCTTCATTCAGTGTTTAATGTAATTTATTTCGTTAAATAGGCAGCAATAATTATACTGCAACAGTACCTTAGATTCCTAATATTAAAGCTGCAACACACATACTAAACCCAGTTAATGCTTTACTCTTTTAGACATAATGGTTCCCGTATTTGGAATGGTTCCCGTATTTGGAATGATTTAACTGATAAACTAACATTATGCACTACTCTGTCATCATGAACGTTCAATTGAAGAGACAGTTGGTCTCTTCTTATTTCCCTTAAAGACCGTCAATACATGGGCCAGAAGGGATTAGACCTTACAGCTAGGTCACTGACAGGTGGCTATCTCATTAACTCAGCTCTCAACTAACATAAGAAAATGAGGATCATGGGGGACCAACAGGCACTGATTGGAGAAGTTTTCTATTTAGAGGGAGCAAGTAGCTACAAGTAGGACAGTGGGGCTTTAACTCTTTCTTTTACCTTTTTTAGCTTTAATGTACCATGCACGTGTGTGTGTGTGTGTGTGTGTGTGTGTGTGGGGGGGGGGTGGGTATCTGTGTGTATATATAATGTGTAGTATCTTATTATATATAACATATATATTTTCGGTAACGTGTACAACCATGTAATCTTTTCATTTACTATTTATGTCAGGGGACTATTGCTAACAAGTTTTTCAAACTTCCATTTTAGTCTCCAATTTCTTCATGATTTCCAGAATTGTAAGATTATGAATGTTACTTTTGTATATATGTTATGGCTTAATGATTGAAATAAATGATGAATTGAAAAATCCACTAACCTCATTGAGCAAACTAAGATGACCACAGCATTTGTCTCAAGCGTAGCAGGGTGACCAGGATGTATGAGGCAGACACCTTGCCTCCTGCTCCATTACCTGACCTGCTATACCACCACCACCGGTGGAGGCCATGGAGGGGTGCACTGCAGGTACAGTTGGGGCTGCCCCGCCCTGCCCCTTCCCCTCATGCCAGTTGATGTAAGCCTTGACATTGGATCTGGGATTGGTATGGTCGAGATAAGGAAGAGTGAAAATAAAAGTTAAGAGAATGAGAGAAGAAGAGATGACAGAATGACTTACTTGAAAAATCGGCTTTATATCACAACAAAGAAAGGCTTTACAGTAAACATTACCTCTGAAAATACATCTCAAAAAACACTCAAACTAAAATATATTAAAGGCATCGTTTAACAATGTTAAGTCTGAGATGCATAGCCCTACGTGTTATCAGTGTCTGTAATATGGTATAATATTGAAGCCCTAAAAAAAATCGTGCTTCAAAATGATCAAGAAGTGCCTCAAAAAAGTAAAAATCTTTGAGTAACCGGTTTTACCATACTCATTTCCCCCAATAGACTGTAGTGTTTTGAAAACCGTTTGGCTAGAAAAATAAAGAGCGTACAGAAGTCATATGATGTGGGCAGGTTTAAAAACCCATCTGTTGCTGAAGAATTCCAAGCTCGAATTGGTGGAGCGTTTGAACCGTTGTTGCTGCTGGAAGATACAGACATAGATGAGCTCTGGCTGAAGTTCATGAATGCAACCAATGAGATTACCAAGCAAGTTGTTGGCATCAGGAGAGGGAAACAAGTGAAACATCTCCCAGAACATGTGAGAGATGCTTGTGAACTCAGAAGGAAGGCTAGGGTAACTAAACTAAACTCCCCTCATAATAATCATAATATTATGAAGTAACGGCGCCTTAACAAAAAAGTTAAATATGAAGTAAAAAAGTGGAAGAGGGAGACTCTCAAGAAAGAAGTAAAGGAAATGGAGGCAGCACAGGCACGAAATGACAGCCATGAGCTATTTAAGAAAGTAAGAAAACTAGCTGGTGAAAAGGAGAAGATACAGCCAGCAGCCAAGAACAAAGAGGGGGTTCTCAAGACTGCTCCAGGAGATGTTTTGGATTGTTGGAAAGAACATTTCAGCACCCATCTTAATACAGAGTTCCCAAGAGACACCAACACACTTGGCAATATACCTGAACCTCCTCCTACTGAAAACCAGACTTCACCTTTTACCATAGAAGAGATTAAAGCTGCGATCAAGGCTCTAAAGAATAACAAAGCAACTGGATTTGATAACATAGCAGCTGAAACACTGAAAGCTGGTGGTCCAGCAATGGCACAGATCTTGCTGAAGATCATCAACACTGCTTTTATGCAAGGCAAGACACCAGTTGAGTGGAGCAAAGGCCTTATTACCCCTGTGTACAAAAAGGGGGATAAACTTGACCCAGCTAACTACCGAGCCATAACACTGCTATCAGTGCCAGCTAAAGTTTTCTGCAGGATGGTGCTCAGTAGGATCCAAGAGACAATTGAAGAGCATTTATCGGAAGAGCAGTGTGGATTCCGGAGCTCCAGAGGAACCACTGATGCTATTTTCATTGTCAGGCAAGTGCTGGAGAAGGCCAAAGAGAGACATATCCCCATCCATTGCAACTTTGTGGACTTCAAAGCGGCATTCGATACTGTCTGGAGGCATGCTTTATGGAAGTGCCTTCTTTCAATAGGAGTTGAGAAGAACCTGATTGACCTCATTAAGTATATGTATGACCAGACCAAATGTGCCGTCATCATAAATAGTAAAGTTACGGAATGGTTCCAAGTTATGACAGGCGTCAGGCAAGGCTGTCCTCTTTCCCCGAGTCTGTTCAACATCTTCCTAGAGTTTGTGATGGCAGATGTCAAAAACCTAGACAGTGGAGTTCAGATGGGTGGCATACGCATTAACAACATCCGCTATGCAGATGACACTACTCTACTCGAACTCATCTATGACAAACTCCAAATATCAACAAACAAGCTGGTGGAAGTCTGTGGTAAATGGGGAATGAAAATCAACACAGCTAAATGCAGAATCTATAGAGAAGGTAGAAGACTTTTTCTTCCTTGGAAGTGTAGTCCCCTCGCGGCTACCAAAGATGTCAAGAGACGCACAAACCTAGCTTCCTGGGCATTTGGCAGACTGAGAAACAATATATGGACCAACCAAGATATTTCAAGAGCCCTGAAGGTCGGGATTTATAAAGCCCTCATTCGTCCTTTTAGCCACCTACGGGTCAGAGACGTGGACGCTAAGGAAAACTGACCGGGATAAACTGGAGACCTTGGAGATGAGATGTCTGCGGACAATAGCAGGAGTCCATCTTCTAGATAAAATTAGAAGCGTAGACATCAGAAAGTCATTGAAAATCTCCAAGACAATAAATGAGGAAATATCCAGCCGCTGCCTGAAATGGTTTGGACATGTGGTACGTATGCCACAGGAACGCCTACCAATACAAGTCCACACCAATGACTTTACTGTGCCACGGCCACCAGGACGTCCTCCCCCGAGGTGGAAAGACCAAATCCACCAAGACTCTGGATTAAGCCTGGAGGCTGCCCAACACCAAGCCCAGGACAGAAGTGAATGGAGGCAGACCACCCGTAGGAGCACAAGGGGACACTCCGTCCTGGGCACTTAAGTCAAGTAAGTCAATGTACACACTGACCTGCATATTGATAAGGAAGATACATTGCTTGTGCTTGCTGGTGCCGTTGCTGTGCCATCGCCTGGCTCGCGGGCTGAAGTGGCTGGAAATGTTGCTTGATAGATGTCTGTTGTAAGCTTCCACCTACCGGTAAGTGGCTACCACTGGTATGAGCAGCAGAGGCAACTCCTGTGAATAGAATGGAAATATCATCAATGTTCTTTCTAGAAACTGTTGGCAAATTAAAAATGAAATAGGACTATAGCAACCCAGCAGATGCATGACGATGGGACCAAAACATTTAAGTATTAACACTAGCTATTCAAAACAGTCACTTAAAATTTTTGCAAACCCAAAACAATATCTGTAAGCCTTGTTAAAGTGGTAACTTCACTCACACATAGAAACCAATGGATACAGGCATCAATAGCGTACAAAATCGTGAACAGAATAATGGCGACTTTAATCTGGCATTGTTATTACTGGTACGTGTAATGCTATCTCAATGGTATTTGAATTGCGATCTTTGAAATACAAAATCTGAACAGGATTTGTTATGATTTAAACTGGCACTGTAAATTGCAGGGGTGCTTTAGAACTCTAAAATGTAGTATATGGTCTTTACCTAACTCCTGCTAGAGAAATACATTTTTAAGATGCTTATTTTTCTTTTCATGTGCTTCATTTGTAACAGAATGCTTTCCCAAGTTACCGGTAGTTTACCTGGTAACTCACATAACACTGCAACTTCACTGTGCACACCCATGTCAAAAAAAGTACAACAAAATTACAAAAAATATATAACTGGATTAAAGGATAAGAGACACTCTTCAGTTTATTATGCATTTCATACATTCATCTGTCATTATTATCACTATGTAATATAACTGATACTTTGAGCAATATAAGTAAGTACAGGTGCTCCAAAACACAAGTTCTGCTTTCAAGTTTGCACAGGTTTTCAAGCATTGACTGCAATAGTCTATTCAATAATTAATGGTAACATACATACAAATATTCCCATGCACTGTAGAACTATTTCTTACTGCACAGCTTGGTAATATTTGAACTGAAATATTAAAACGTAATACTCAGGCAAGCTTTTTGAATAGTTCAATACTATCAATACTATAACTGTAAATTACATATAAAGGCACAGTTGGGCAGGAACTTTACATACAAAAGAGTATAGAGATACATGAAATGCAGCTTTTATTAAATTACATACAAATGAGACAAATGTGATTTCATCTCCGATATGCCTCCGTCTACTTTCAGTCAAAATCCTGGCTTTAATTATTCTTGGAATGTCACGATGAGAATAAAAAGCCCATATTTGCATGTCGATTCATCTTTACAACCTTTAAACTTTGACATTACAATCCAAAAATCTGCTCCCTACAGTGATGCACACTACAAGTTTCAAGCTTTGAAATCAGAGCTAAAATAGCTTCAAATTGTCATTGATTTGGTAAAAACAAAGTTGAAAACACCTTTAATTCATCGAAATTGATTTGCTAACCTTTGGCATTTGACCTTCTTTTACCCAAAATCTAATCAATTTTTCTCATTATGAGGATGCACACTAACGAAGAAGCGGGACAGACATACAGACTTACGGACAAACAACCAACTTTTATTTGGCAGAGGCATAAAAACATCAAGGTCATGAAGTTACATAAGTTTGTAGAGGCTTACTCGAGTGGTAAGATCCCTTCATGCATCAATGTATAGAGTATGCTACAATGATAGAATGTTCTATTTTCTATGGATTCACCAGACATGGTGGAACCACCCAAATAATGAAAGTAGTCAAGAACAAAAGCTAAGAAAAGACGACTTCTGAAACTAACAAAAACCCATGTACATATTTATTATCAGGAACCCGTTTTACAAAGCCTTTTTTCAGTGACAAATGACAAAAATCATTGACAAATCTGCTGATAACCAATCAGAAGCAAGGATTTCACTAGCTTATAACAAAAACTGTCATTTGTCACTGATGATTACTCCAAGACCTGAAGCCCTGTTTCCTCTTTCATAGCCCCCTCCCCTCCCCCTTTTTATGCTTTAGAGGTGAAACAGAAGTCATGTATGGTGTACTGCTTGAAAATATCCCTATTTCAAGATTCAGCAATGGACCGGACTAATAACTTGTTTGTTTGTTTATTTTAAATCTTTAAATGTTCTTCACTTTTTCTTCTTCTTTCGGATACCATGTTACAAGCATTTTGCTTTTTGGTGTTCCCAACCATAATTTTATTTACTGTTTTAAATTGATATACTGTTATTGTTTTCATTTGATGTTATTTCATTGTTGAATCAATAAATACAAATAAAAATAAAAATACAAATACACATGCTCTATATCAATTTCACCTGCCTTCCCTTGATAAATTTCTTATCTTGTGACCTAGGTCCAACATTGAATGGACTTGGTAACATTGTTCAGATGAGAGTAAATGGTGTTAAGGTAGAGACTTCAATGCTAGATGAACAAATAAAGATAATCTGAAAGTTTGTGTAAAAACAGACCATTATTAATGATAAAAATTGGGGAAAAATGATCTGATCAATTCCTGAATCCTCCCAACTATATTATTATAATTCAATTGAGTGTTAGGTGAATGTAAATCGTTACAAAGCAATGAATTGGCTCTATATACCATTTGAAACATCTAAGTGTTGAACCATTTTTTTTTTAAATCTGTCTTATTTTCATGGATAAAGGGTTGAGATAATTCAAAAATTGGTTGAGAGAATTAACTGTTAGAGGGAGTTACACATCAACGCCTTCAAAAGAAAATCAGAAATATCTTTGTGGTTTGAACAACAACAAAAATCAGGATTTTTTGTATGGTAGAAGGAATATATTAAGTAACATTTCATCAACAAATTAGGCAGTTGTGTTCATCAACCTTCAACAATGTTACCTTTTTATTTTAAGGTTGGTATTCTACTAATTCATTTAAACCCAACGGTGGATCTAAGATCGCATGAAACACAGGAAAACTTAGACCTCAAACTAGCCTCCTTTGTTGAACCAGATTTTGAACAAAAGCTTTAATAGGCACATCATCTGGTTTAAAATTTAGTAGAATATGCTATTGTTCACATTAAACTGGGGTTTAGACTAATCCTTGTACACAAACCTTATTCTAATAATCACCTAACCAGCTCACATGTGCAGAGACTAAGAGTTAACACAAATCCCAGTCAACACTAAATAAGATTAATAACACTACAAACAGGGGCGTACGCAGGATTTTTTTGAGGGGGGGGGGGGGGCTTAAATTTGAAAATCACGCCAGAAAATTTGCAATGACTCAGCCATCGCTGAATAAGCGCTGGGGGGGGGGGGGGGGGTAAGGTCACCTTTTTTCGATCACCCTTTAGCATTTTGAGGGGGGGGGGAGGGGTTCAACCCCCAAACCCCCCTCCCCTCCCCCCTGCGTACGCACCTGACTACAAATGTATGCAACTGGTTTAGACATGATTAATCTCCTCTATCTGCATGTCACCATAAAACCACAGGGTTTAGCAGTAAACTGGATTTAACACTCTCAAACATTAGCAATGTCCATCATGATCCTCACTGCAGATCAAGGGAGGGTGGATTTAAGAAGACCAATCTCCTCAAAACTATGTGAGGCATTCAAATGGTTATTGAGGATCATAGAACATAATTTGAAGAAAAAAATTGTATAAAGGCTTGCACGAAAGTTAACTTTCATGCGTGTACACAAAGGCATCCATAGAAGTTGCTTTTATCTATATTTAGAGTGTAAATTCAGTATTTAAACTTCTAGATATCCTTTTTAAAAGTAGAATATGAATCTAATATTTCAAATTGTAGGGGTTGCTAATGATGACTTGCTTTAATACATTTCATGAGAGGCAAATAATCTGAAATAATATACTTCACAATCAAATTACCATTCAAAATCAAAGCTAGTCTTTTGTTCTATAAATGACAACAACAAAATAATCAAAAGCAAGTGAAGGAAATTTGTACTGTTATTGTACTGTGTTGTAGATTTTCAGCAAGTTTTGTGAAATTTCACGTTAAAACAACCCATTTATCAAGCTGTACTTGAGGCTTACAATTCTAAGACCAAGACCCGAGAAAAACTTTACACAATATCAATTTAGTTATTTTTAATATGCACTACTTGCACAGAACCCTAAACATTCAGAGCACAGTATTTGTTGGTGTATGATTCCTCTAAAGAAGACTGGTCATGATGCCAGCATGCTCTTTCGTATACTATCTCCTTGGCAGGATGTATCCAGCTCAGCGGGTGACCCTGAAGGCACTTCTGGTAGATCCAGCATACTTCCACTTGTATCTAGTTGGATGAAGAAAAGAATAATTGATGATCGATCAAGCGAGTTATTATTAATTTAGTAAGTCTTGTCTTGTCCTCTGGATCTGTTTATAAATCTTTTCTGTAATAAATCAAGATTCATTATTTTGAAAGATTTTTCCACTGGCTTCAATGTGTACCTGTTCATAAATCTTGACTAATCTCTTAAATCTCGTGCTTTGAACTGTTTACTCTTTTCTTTAATTATCATTTTCTTAACCTGCATCTCTTTCCATTCTTCTGAACTTCAGTTAAGTGTAACAAAATTAATTAATATCCCTATCCACACATGTCCCTTTAAAAAAAAAATGGTCACGATGCCAGCATGCTCTTTCGCATACTGTCTTCTTTGAAGGATGTATCCAGCTCAGCGGGTGACGCTGAAGGCACTTCTGGTAGATCCAGCATACTTCCACTTGTATCTAGTTGGATGAAGAAAAGAATAATTGATGATTAAGAGAGTCATCAATAATTTTGTATGTCTTGTCCTCTGGATCTGTCAGGGCCCCCTGGAAAACAGTACTGCCATTACTGATGGGGCCACCCTGTTTAAATAAAACGAAATAAATAAATAAATAAATAAATAAATCTTTTCTATAATAAATCAAGATTCATTATTTTGAAAGACTTTTCCACTGGCTTCAAAACTACATCCTCTGCCCTTTTGTAAAGTTTTCATACCCAGATAAAAAGTTCATCAGAAAGGAATTAAATTTATAAATCAACATCCCCCTGGCAAACAAACAAACAAACAAAAGGAGGAAGAAGAGGGCTGATAACAACCCCCCCTCCTCCTTAATTGGTGCCTGTTAGATAATTCTTTAACCAAAACCAAAACAACACACCACAAAGCTGATGTTGATGAACCCTTTTTTTTTTGGGGGGGGGGGGGGGGGGGGGGGCTTGTCACAGAATTTTTGGACTTTTGCCCCTACCACAAAAATCTTGGATCTGCCAATGTATACCAGTCAAGTAAAATTGGAATTAACAGAGATTAAAGTGCATACCTTTGGCAGTGCTTTTACTTTGTTCTGTTGATTTGGATGGAGTAGTGGTCACTGACACATCTAGATCACCACTGATGAGCGATTCCAGCTCCGATTCCAGAAGCTCCAGGTCTATGTCTGCACCGAAGCTCACCGTATCATCGATGGACTTGTTCCCTCTCACCATGGTGTCGTCAATCTCATTGCACATTTCCATGACCTTTGACATTTTTTGGAATGAGAAGGGAGAATCGTTACATTCGGCAAAAGTATAATTATTGCAAATGTGTTTCTATTCAACCCCTTTATGATTGAAATCTATTCCGTCGTCAGTAATGGACGAAACAAGAGTTCATGAAAATCACTTCCACTGACCTGTTCCTCTCATTTTTTTTTCTTCTATTCAAACAAAAAAAATATCAGGTAGGACTTCCCCAATACATTTCTGAAGATTTAAAGTTGCTCATGCATGGGTACATAGAGGGCAGCACACAGACGTACGCACAAGAGCGTAATACCTGTTGGCCGAGTGCTATGTAGTGATCGTCAAGTTGCCTACTTCACGAAAGACTATATACCCACGTTTGAATTTAAGATATTATGCGTTAAAGCAAAGTCCTAATTCTACCTTACAAACAAAATATATAATTGAAAAATTAAAATAATGATTGCAAAATTACCTCTTGAACATCCGACACTGCATCATCCACCGTTTCAGGTGAGAGGCCGTTGTCATCAAATGTTTTCTTTAATGCCTTTGACCCAGACCTGTATGCTTCCAATACCTGCAGTAAATACAATACAATATTGGCACTTATATAATGCTCTCACAGTAATTGTATCACAGCGCTTTACAAAGATATCATATAAAAGTAACTCAAGACAATAATTGTGAATACTACAAGGACAAGGACTTATAGGTTCGATGATTAATTTAATGGTTAAAAAGAAAGATTTTCAGGGACTTCTGGAAAACAGAAAGAGATGGTAAGCCTGAATAGAGGTGTCGAGGACGTGGATACTTCACCGGACTGTGGATCACAAGGTCCGCGGTTAAAGTCCTACCGCGGCACAAATGTCCTTTGGCAAGACAGTGATCTACATTTGCCACACTCAACCCAGGTGATGTAAATGGGTACCTGGCGGGAATTAATTCCTTGAAATGCTAGAGCGCCGTAATGGCAGCTGTGCTAAAGCCAGGGTAATAATCGGGAGCACCAGGAGTGTCAAATCTGACAGACATGAGCGCTATACAAGAACCCACTATTATTATTATCATTATTATTTACTGTGGGAGATTGACCCATTTAAGCATTGAGCCACAAGGGAGAAGTAAATCATCACAAGAAATAGCACAGCTAAAAGTTGATTGCAGGGATTCCGGCCAGGTGCCGTTTTACAAGTGCACACATGCCAATCCAACTACATTAAAGCTTGCATCTTTAATACCCGGTACCCATTTAACTCCTGCGTGGAGAGTGGCAAATGCAGATTAAAGTCTTGCCAAAGGACATAAGTGCCCAGTTGAGAATCAAACCGCAGACCATGTGATCCACATTCCGGTGACACATCCACCAGACCACAACACCTCTTAGAAACAGTCCTTTTAAGCATGTACAGTCAAACCTGCTTTAGTGACCACCTGTCTACAAAGACCGCATTTTTTGTTTCCCTTGAAAATGGTTTCTCATTGAAACATGTACTAAAGGAACCTGTTTACAAAGACCACCTTTTGTGTTTCCGTAGGGCGGTCACTATAGACAGGTTTGACTGTATCTTATCTCTCTTTCTCTCTTTCTCACTCTCTCACTTTCTTTAATCATCACTCTACCCCTCCATTTCTCGATCTCTCGATCTCTCTTTTTTTGTCTCCTGCCGTCATGGTCGTGTTTAGTCATTGAGATGGTAGATAGATCTGACTCGTTTAGCCTACCATGATTAAAGATGAAGTTGAGTTCTGGCCATGAAATTGCATTGTGAAAGAAACGGTGTGGAATCGACCAGAAAAGGTTGATCATCTAGCATATAAGAATTTGTGTGTATTGCAAGGTTCTGGAATCATCAAAATGATAAGAAATTTGGCCAAGTCTTGGTAAAGTTACAAACACTGTACACAGAAAGATGTATATGGGACTACACGAACACGTTGCGTAAAAATCCTACCCTGGATTTTTACGATGTCACATGACATATTTAGAATATGAAGGCATTTGAAGAGCCATGCTTTTCTGGGAACATGTCTTATCTGATGTTCTTCCACACTTGCATAATAAAAATGATATTGATAACGCCCACAAATTAGTTTTCACCTCTTCCCAGAACTCAACCTTCTCTTTAAGATACATTGATGAACTGTTGTAGAGTCTATGCATACCATTTTGTCAGACTCAGCAGACTCGAGTCTCTCTTGAAGCTGCTGTAAGGCATCTAGGGTGGATTCGTCACTTGCTAATCTCTTCTGAGCAAGCTTCTTCCTTCTCAGTGCATTCTTGGCCTGGAATGTTACAAAAGAAATAACAGCATAGTAAGGCCTAAAATAGAAACTTGTTGTATCGCCCTTTGCGACCCTCCCAAAAATCTGAAAATCTACGGTCGGCATTTTTTTTTTTTTTTTTAAAATTTTTTAACCGTCTTTTAGATCTTTTTAAATTAATGAATACAAATATGTATTTTGTTTCTTTAAATGGGATATAAATGCATAAAATCAAATTTTTCCTAAATTCTCACTAATTATGAGGTGGAAAAGATTGAAACACATGTATTAAAGCATTAAAAACTGAGAAATATCAGCCAAAAGAGGGCGGGGAAAAAAGAAGAAAAAAAAAATTCAAATCTGAAAAATATCGGCGCAAAGAGGGCGACAAAAAAAAAAAGATTAAAAAAAAAAAAAACTTTTCTGACCGACCGACCCATGTTTTGGCACCTAAAGGGCAATACAACAAGTTTTTATTTTAGGCCTAATATGGCTTCATATTTCCGTCTTTAGGAGAGAGGGCTTAGGTTTTTCCTATCTTGAATACAAGGTGTAAAACAGCAAAATACAAGCCAATATATTTTTCTATGTGAAAACAAGTCAACATTATTCAAAACTGCTAAATAATATTGAAATTGATATTCTTGAATTTCCTTGTTTTAAATGTAGCTATTGAACAATAAATGAAGAACGTGGGCCTATTCTTATCTATTGCATGTTAAAACCATCATTACTAAACTCCAAAATGAACAAACTTTATAAATCTGAATGTTAACCAGCCTTAGGTCAAAAGAGTTATTCAAAGTCATTAAGGTAGTCAAACAAAGAAAATTTCAGAAAACAGATAATTATGGACAAAGTATATATGGATGAAAAATACAAATAATTTAATGAAAAATCATATAGATATCATGGAAAGGCATGAAATGCTTTGTGACTAGCCGTGTCTCGCATGTGACGGTAGGAATCTTGACGCTCTACAGAGGACCGCTGAAGGCAGAAAATCTGGATCTCAAAATTATGATTTTTGAGAAATGATTACTGCGAACCCAAACAGATTTTAAAGAGGGAGTTTGTTATATTTGATCAGTAAGGCTTCTCCATAGTCATGATATAATTTTGCATCAATTCAAAACACTTTCGGTTGACTACTTTAACACCATTTCTGTGAAATGAAAGATACATTATGAGACATTTTCTGCCTGGTTAGCATCTACCTCGTGCATCATATAACTGCTTGGTCCCAAACAACAACACAAAATGGCGATGCTTGCATAAGTACTCACTGATGTTTTCTTTCCTTTTCTGAGTTGTTGTCTGGTCTCTTTATCTTCTTGTTCCACTACTCTTGAGAGTCTCTCTATTGTCAACTGCATTGAAAGGATTGTCTTCTTTAATCTGCAAACAAGAATACAAGATTCATTTGCATTATATTTTTTGTCACAATTTAAAGCAAATGGAATGTTATCATTTCATGATTTTAATTCATAGAATATTCAAATTTTCTTCTTTTGTAGGCATAAACAGGGAGTAGGAGTTTTATTGAAATAAATATCTGTAAAAAAACGTAGGTGTTAAAAGAGCAGAGCTGGGTACAAAATGATATAAATAAATAAAGCTAATTGATATCACATCTTTCAATGAAATGATATAATAAACTGGTATCAATGTATTTGATGGATTTAATTAAATACATTGATTCTGTTACACTGTTTCCACTTTAAGAAGTATAACATTGTGATTAATATTTTTAGAAAACAAAAAACCTTTCCTGAATTTTGTCTACTACTAGTATATGTCATTACAACCTCTATTTTGCAGCCATCCAAATCTAGATGAACCATGAGTACCCATACAAAGGTACCCAACCTTTCATCACAGTCAGGCAAACTACTTTGCTAATATTCACAAGATTTTAATGAATGAGAAGAACATGACAAATGCAGGTTTGTATAGTAAAAGATGGAAAAGATCACACAAAAATGTCCCTTCATTAAACGTATATTCACCTTAGAGTTCCAAGCTCCACAGATGTCACTGGAGACACAGCTTTCTGGCTTTTAGATGCAAATTTTAATACCTGAAATAAATGGAATAAAAATCATTATGTAATAGATAAATGCTTGTAACAGGCAGCTTATGGGGGTTGGGACAGCTTTAAAACAATGATGTAAACATTCAGTGCTAAATAAGACAGAGTAACAAGGCACAAGAAAGCAAGAGATGGTCATAAACACACATAGAAACTTGGGCAACCATGTATGATTTCCAAAAGTAGTTTGTGCGAGGCTTGCTACAAACAGGTAAGTCTTAATATATTCAGTGGTGTGGGCTATTTATATCCAGTTTTGATAATTCTTACTTGAAAATCAGCCCTGTATCTCATGTGTCCAATGTAAATCTTTATTGTTCAGGCATTTACACATGGTATTGATTTTTGTGGGAAAAAACCTTGAATTTGGGAGTGATATAATTCTACCATAAAAAGGTGTTACATCTGGTTCTATCCTGAATGTAGTAAAAAATGAAAGCCCATAATAGAGTGTTAAATATCAATAAAAGCTGAGCTGATATACATGTAGTAATGAGTATAATAATTTAATATTCTCTAGCGCACATATCCACCACTAATGTGGCCCAATGTAATGTCTTTTGGCAAGAAATTAATCTACTTTGCCACACTTCACACAGGTGAGGTAAATCAGTAACCGGTAGGAAGAAATTTCTTGAATGCTTGAGCACCTTCTCATGGTAGCTCGGCTAAAGCTGGGGTAATGGTATGATTGCAGGACCCTCCTGCTCAGGGTAAACAGTATGAATACTGCCGAGGGTACCTGCCAGCAGGTAAACTAAACACGACATATTATTAATACCATTATTATTATTATTACCCCGGCTCTGCTAGGTTACTGATTTTAGCGCTCACAGTATTCAAAGAATTCCATCCAACAAGTACCCATTTCACATCTGGGTGGAGAGAGGCAAATGTAGATTAATGTCTTGCATTTGGTGCTGCGGCGGGACTTGAACCATGTGATCCACAGTCTGAAGACGTATCCACTAGACCACAACACCTTTAATAATCAGTCACATGGTTCATATAAGCAGGGGTCTATGCTTTTTGTCCTGGGGTAGGTTGGAGGCAGGGGTAAAAATATAGAGGGGCTCTGGGCAAATTTGCCCCAGAAATCCCCAAAGAGCCCCGAAAGTCATAAAAGAGCCCAACATTTTTTGCATAGAGTTCAAAGCAAAACAAATTAAACAAACTTGAAAAGTAGCCCCTGAAATGTTTTTAATATTTTTTTCCCTTGTTGGGGAGGGAGGGGGTAGGGGGGGGGGGGAAGCTCTCGTGTGAATATAAGCGTCAAGCTATAACATATATATGTAATTGCACAACTGTTCACCTACCTTTGTATTGTCATCTGTTGTTACCAGAACCTGTTTCGTCCTCTGAAGATGAAGAAGGACAAGATCAAAAGAAGCGTCATCCTGACACAGGTCAACGCACTCTTGCTTGAACGTGGAGTAGTCCACTACATGATCGGTGCTGGTGCAATGGACATTCTCATGATGTCTCTTGAGAAAAGCTTCTCCAAACTCCTGTAAAACATAAATATGAAAACGTCTATATTGTTGGAAACGGCTGACACAGGTCTAAATCTGCACACTGCTTCTTGAACATGGAACAGTTTACTACATCGGGGAGTGTTTCACAAAGATCCTTATTCGAACTTAACTTAAGTTGGACTTAAACATTATGGATTGGAAAGCCATGTGTAGCCATAAAAATAAATATATATTCAAAAGCAAAAATTGAAGTATTTTAGACTTTTTATTAATTCTACATCAAGAAAATGAAATCTCCTTCATAATAAAAAATATGAATGATTTGAATCAACATTTTATGCCTTTAACAATAACTTGTAAATAATATTTTCATAGATGCTAACGGCTTTCCATAATTGTTAAGTCCAACTTAGAGATAAGTTAAACTTAGGATCTTTGTGAAACACCCCCCAGCACTTCTCAATGTTTTTAAACTCAAGGCCCACTTTGGCTGATAGAGGTTGTTTGAGACCCACCTTGCAAAACTTGAGAAAAAATAAGAATAAAACATGACACAAAGAAACGGAAAACAATTGTGTGGTAAATATGCAGTGGCGTACGAAGATATTATTGGACCTCTCCCTCTGCCAAACCTTACATGTATCTATTGAACTGAACCAGAAAGTGAAAGGATGATAGATTTGGGCATTTTTAACCCTCAAACACATAATTTCATGAACATGTTATTTGAACCATCATGGGTAGGAAAGTTTGCAAGGAGAGCACTGCAACCATAGGCTTCATAAGAGGGGGGGGGGGGGGGAGCTGAATTCCTCTGGCCCAATATTAATCAATGATCAACAGCTGTGTCATGTAAGACCAGACCTTGGCAGACCTTGCAGCCCACTGGTTTAGAAGCAATGTACTACATGATCAGTGCTGGCATAGTGTACATTCTCATGATGTCTCTTGGCCACTGCCTATCCAAGTTCCAGTAATCATCATCATATACTAAAATCAGCTTTTCCCTTCTCAGAAGTGTTAATGACTTTCACACCACGGCACTCCCTCCCTCCACTTCTTCTTCTTGTATCAAGCATCCTCCTCAGTTAGACTAACCTTACTTATTTCTTTCTTCACCATATCTTTTTATGAAATCTGTGGTTTTGCCCTCTTATGCCAGCCACTTTTAGAGCCCATGCTCTTTTCACAGGTTCATCATCTTCCCTTCTTAACACATTTCATTTCATTTCATTTCATTTATGGGTTCAACCATTTTTTTAAAAACAACATTCAGAATTACAAACAATGGTAGTGGTACTCCATGATTTGATAATTGTGTTGAACTTGCATCTTCAATCAAGTATGTTTCTCATATTGTTCTAAGTTTCATTAAAATCCTTAAAAGAAACAAATAGTAAAAAATAGCCAAACATATGCAGGCATAATGAAGCAACAATCAATTGGGTGTTATCATTATTTATTTGACCATAAAAATTATTAATCAGATCCTGAGCAAGATAAGAAGAAAAGGTTTGTGGGTGGGGGTTCACAACACAAAGATTCTTCTCTGTTGCCCCTAGGCTGCAGTTCTTTATAAGAAGGGCAGCAAAAATAATATTAGACAACAGAAATACAAGTGACTTTTCTTTGCCAACCAACAAAGAGTTCAATACGTAAAGTCAGCATACCTTCAATAATTCCACAGCTACAAAGTTTCCTACAGGGGGCTCGTTCGTCTGTTGGAAGAGAGAGGCCATCGTCCATCTCACAGGTTTTCTAACAAATGTGTTGACTCCCCATGACAACCATGTTGTACTTGCTTCTAGATCATCTGCTCTAACCATTTGACCATTTCTATAAAACAGAGGAGTAAAAAATCTTGTTGTCATCTTTAGAATAGTGAATCAACCAATGTCTTTAATTAAAATATAACAAAATCATAAGGGTGCTCCCCCCCCCCAATCGAAAAGGCAAAAATATAAGAAGAAAAAACCAAGAAAGAAAAAGGTGAGAGTGAGGACAAAGTGCTTTGTATGAGAAGAAAGAAGAGTCCGCTAGGTGAACTGCAAAACCAGTGGGTTCGTTGGATGTGGGAAGGGGTGATTTCAAACCTATTTTAGGTTTTCTTTACCTGCCTCTAGCTCTTCACGCTGATAGGTGCCATTTAAGGCTAGGTGATATCAATATCAGATTTCATATCATCACATAGCCCGGTTTGAAAAATCAAAGGAAAAACTTTCAGCTGAATATCGGTGGCATTTTTATTGATACACTCTCTATAGGGTCTACACCTGCACTAGACCGAATTTTCCGTCTCTTTCGTTCGTTAGCCTCTTATTGGGGTAGGGTCGGCCGGCTCTCTCTTTAGAGACGGAAACCGTCTATACACATTCCCTTGATAACGCCACGGCCATTTCAGGTCGTAGCGTTTTGCCCCCAAAATCCCCCAAAATGTCATTTTACCTCGTGCATTTTATATTGTAAATTAGGCCTAGGCTATAATAAATCAGTTCCACTTACCAACTTGACTGAAATAATCAGTTTAATAGTCCCTTTTTAGGAATTTATGGGTCAAAATCGAAATCCATGTTGAAAAAGATTTTCAAAATGGATTTCGATTTTGACCCATAATTTCCTAAAAAGGGACTATTAAACTGATTATTTCAGTCAAGTTGGTAAGTGGAACTGATTTATTATAGCCTAGGCCTAATTTACATGTGGATGTGCACGAGGTAAAATGACATTTTGGGGGATTTTGGGGGCAAAACGCTACGACCTGAAATGGCCGTGGCGTTATCAAGGGAATGTGTATAGACGGTTTCCGTCTCTAAAGAGAGAGCCGACCCTACCCCAATAAGAGGCTAACGAACGAAAGAGACGGAAAATTCGGTCTACACCTGCACAACACCTACATCAGTATGAAAATACAACCGACAATGGCCTGTAAGGCTGTATAATGAAGAAAAAGAAGAATAAGGGGGAGGAGAATCTTTAATAAAGCTTGTTTTTGTAGCATATGAAATTATCCTGGTAATGTGTGCTTGGCAAGCTTGGTTATAATCAGTAGGGGCGCTGTTTCGAAAATAAGAATCGTCCGCTTAAATGAGATTCTTCTTCGTAAATGCAGACAGACGCGTCCTGGACAAAAAGGATCATCCGCATTTTCGCGGACGATTCTTATTTCCAATCGACGCGTTGGCGATGTGAAAAACGGATTCCGCGATGATGCTCCTTGATGCAAATCACATTGGCTTTGTACAGAGACTTTCACGTTATGAACGATAAATTCTCAGAGAGACGCGGAATCTGTTTTTCACATTGCCAGCTACAGTAGCGCGCAGATTAGGAACCCTACACCTGCAGTGCGCAGAAGAAAAATGAACCTAATATTTCTTAGGACATGATTTGTCCGCATTAACAAGGATTATGAAGGATATCCTTGTTTATGTGGACGATCCTCGTTCTCTGACCAGCCCCCCTACCGATAATGAATTTTATATTTAAAAGACGAGCTATAATTATTTATGATCATAAAAACATCAAAATTTCTTTTAAAAATCGTTTAGTTTTATACCTATTCATTTCTCTCATCACTGCACCGATGGACTGCGGAACAACTCCTTTTCTCCTAAACTTCTGTGTCAAATCTTCCAATGAAAACAGTAGAGTTTTCTGTGTTTTTCCATATTTCAAGATGAGCTCTGACCAGAATTTCATCTTGTTGTCCCAATCTCGAGGATTCACTTGCCGATTCTCACGAAATCCAGAAAACAGGTACCCCATTCGTTCATCATCTTCCCAGCAATCAGGCAGATGTTCAGTGCCTGTGGTGGTATCCATGTTTTGATCTCCGAAACAAGATACAATTTACTTTCTTGTCAAACACCAAAGAAGTGCATTTCAAATTCTGTATGGCGATGAATATGACTCGACGATTGCACAATAAAGCAATCAGCTGCAGCCAGCGCCAGTACTATTGACAAATATTGAGGTCCTGTTTTGCCGGAAATGCATTGTTTGCTGCCCTCTTAAGACAGAAACTGGACCAATGCCGGGGATTTTTTTTAAATTTCGATCTCAAGAATGGTCGAGAAAAGTGAAAAAAAACTGTTTATTAGTGAAGTTATCTCCAAATTCAACGGAAAATGGAACAGGTTCAATGCAAAGGACATGGTGAGATACAACAGATCTTGTATCTTGTAGTTATTTTGCTTTTTTTTAAATGTATATCTTGCCTATTCAATTCTCGGTCCCATTCGAAGTCATCGGTGTCCCTTTATTGCTTTAATTGGGACCAAAACAAAAGACCAGTCTAGATTCTACACGTCTAAATTAGTAACGGGCGCCAGTTTACAAGTGTGCCCATAGTTCAGAATCATATCCAGACTTTGATCCGTAACTCCGGTGTGGAGATACCCTCCAAAAATCAACTAAATCTTCTACAGACAGTACAATGTCAATTGTTTAAAATGATCTTGATTTTAAAAGTTGTTAGGTCTAGACTAGACCTCTATGTTTCTTACCTGTTTCGTGTCAATTCAATTTTTATATCTTTTTTGGATTATTTTTCCTAAAAACGAGACAATATTATATACACTTTTTACAGGTTTCACGGCAAACTGCTGCACGATACAATTGCATACTGTTCTGTACCGCCTGTGGGGTGCGTGCGCGCGTGTGTGACGTGTGTGTGTGTGTGTGAAGTTAGGGATTCGCGATCGCATAGAACTTTAGCTAACATTTTAGCGCATGCGCAAATCATTCATCCAATCTTGGCAAATCGCAGCCTCATTTTACTAACTTGGCGCCAACAAGGGCCATTTTATGTGTGAGCAATGCCGTGTGTGCGTCAGTTATGAAGTGCGTCATCTGTTTAAAGCAGGACATGTCAAAATCTCTGTGGTGTGATGTAATATTATATATTAGTTAAGTAGGCCCCCTCTCACTTAAATTTGAAGCCACTCGAGCGGATCGGCCAATGAGAGTGGATAAATTCACTGTACAGCGCTCAATGCGCAAAGTTCTTAGTGCGACTGTAATTTCAGATTCTCATTAAATTCATTTAACTGAAGTAATTCATTCTCATTATGACAATCATCATTACGGTCCCTTACTTCACACACCATATTATATGGAGAGGGTAGGGTGTGATGTTGGTAATTTTGCGGAGAGGATTGGATTAATGTTTTGTTTGCAATAGAAAGGCGGTTGTGGACAGTTATTTTAAACCTTGAAGAAGAATTACTCTCCCAAAAGCGTGAACGCTGTCCTGGAGAAACTGATTATTGAGGAATGAGGATTGATTTTATGTTTTTAGGTAAATTATCCCAGTCTGTACTCTAGTTGTAAGGGATACAAAGAATTTTAAAAATTTGTACTAATTATACCAATTTAGATTGCCAGATCTACCTGGCGACAGGTGGATAGCTATATTGAACTACAGTAGAATTTTAATTGTGTTATTTATCCTGGATTTTAGAGTGTCATGCAGCTTTCAGGGACCCCTGTTAATGCACACATAGCTGCATTACTATCCTGGCTGTGTATTAAAACCTGTTCTATTGATTCTCAACATTTCAAACACCACTGTACAAAACTCAACTGATTTCACTCAAAATCGGTACTTTAGTGACAATTGAAGACACCTGAATAGCAGTAAAATATAATTTTTTCAACTTGCCAATATTAGAAAGAATAATTTGAAAATTCAAGTCGTGAGACTACTGTCAAACCTGCCTACAGCCACATCGTCTTCATTGTGTGCATTTGTGTGTTATGTGTGTATTGACTATTCATGTGTCATGTGTGCAATTGCTGCCTATTAGCACGTAGTGCAGCGCTACAGGTCAATACGCATTAGCATTGACTCTCTATGCTTTGCTGGAGTGTGTAAATGTAATTTCAAATTCAAGCCCTTAATATTGAATATAAAAGTTACAATTTTGATATTTCTCAAACCATACTTTATCTATCCTTTTGTAGGGGAAACATGCTTTCTTAAAACTGGTGTAAGTGAAGGACCAAGAAAAGGAAGGAGTTTTTACATCTGTAGATCTACAGCTGAACAAAAGTGCAATTTTGTGCAGGAAACAAGGTATGTTTTTATGCCTCCGCTACAAAGTAGCCGGAGGCATTATGCTTTCTGGTTGTCCGTCCGTCCGTACGTCCGTCCGTACGTACGTCCCGTTCTCGTGATCGCGTTATCTCAAGATCCAATTGATGGATTCTCTCTAAACTTGGATCATGTATGTATCTTGCAGAGCCAATGAACTGATTAGATTTTGGGGTCACGAGGTCGAAGGTCAAAGGTCACAGGGCTCATTATGTATTCAAAAATAGCTTGTGATCGCAATATCTCAAGAACCGATCAATGGATTCCTGCCAAACTTGGGTCATATATGTATCTAACAGAGCCAATGAACTGATTAGATTTTGGGGTCACGAGGTCGGAGGTCAAAGGTCACAGGGCTCATTATGTATACAAAAATAGCTTGTGATCGCGTTATCTCAAGAACCGATCGATGGATTCGTGCCAAACTTGGGTCATGTATGTATCTAACAGAGCCAATCCCATAGGAAAGAAATGAGCCTGCCGCATACTCCTGCGGCAGACTTGCCGCAGACCTGCCGCAGACCTGCCGCAGACAGTCATCTTTTTCACATGCAAATTAGTTTTGCCGCAGACTTGCCGCAGACTTGCCGCATACTCTTTCAGTATGATGAAGAGTCTGCGGCAGGTCTGCCGCAGACTTGCTGCAGACTTGCCGCATACTCTTTCAGTATGATGAAGAGTCTGCGGCAGGTCTGCCGCAGACTTGCTGCAGACCTGCCGCATACTCTTTCAGTATGATGAAGAGTCTGCGGCAGACTTGCTGCAGACTTGCCGCATACTCTTTCAGTATGATGAAGAGTCTGCAGCAGGTCTGCCGCAGACTTGCTGCAGACTTGCCGCATACTCTTTCAGTATGATGAAGAGTCTGCGGCAGGTCTGCCGCAGACTTGCTGCAGACCTGCCGCAGACTCTTCGTCATGAATATTCATATCTCATATAGACCTGCTGCAGACCTGCCGCATACTCTTTCATATCCAGTACGTGGCAATAAAGTATGCATGTAGAAGAACCAGTGATAAACTGATTGATACTTCATAATCGATATTACCAATTAGGTAATACCAATATATACAATTGTATATATATATTACCGATTAGGTATATTCTATTCTCAATTGTATTGACTTCATCACATTGATCATTTGAAGTGTATTCAAGAGTAACATTTAAAGTGACACAGGCTCGTACACATATATATACTAAATATGTATATTGTTTCTTGGTTAGTAATCATAGTTTCTTGGTTAGTAATTAATATATCTATTGCTTAAACGTGAATGTAATTGTAACATGATCAGACAAAATAATCTATTGGTTAATAATGGCAAAAGGAAAATAGAAATCACAAAAATGATGTGCATTATCTTAATTTGCTTAACAAATCATGATAAATGTATTTTTCTGTCACACGTGTAAAGTAATAATGAATATGCATGAGATGATTGGTTTCAATTGGCCCTATTAGACTTTAATGGGATTTCCTATGGCAGACCTGCCGCAGACTGTCCCTGTGGCGTACTGGTATGCGGCAAGTCTGGAGCCAAGTTTCGCCCTGCCGCAGATCTGCCGCAGACTGTTCCTGTGGCATACTAGTATGCGGCAAGTCTGCAGCAAAATTTCATCCTGCCGCAGATCTGCCGCAGACTGTTCCTGTGGCATACTAGTATGCGGCAAGTCTGGAGCAAAGTTTCATCCTGCCGCAGATCTGCTGCAGACTGTTCCTGTGGCATACTAGTATGCGGCAAGTCTGCAGCAAAATTTCATCCTGCCGCAGATCTGCCGCAGACTGTTCCTGTGGCATACTAGTATGCGGCAAGTCTGCAGCAAAATTTCATCCTGCCGCAGATCTGCCGCAGACTGTTCCTGTGGCATACTGGTATGCGGCAAGTCTGCAGCAAAATTTCTTTCTGCCGCATACTTAGGCATACTCTTTGCCGCAGACTAAAAGTCTGCGGCAGGTCTGCGGCAGATCTGCGGCAGGTCTGCGGCAGGTCTGCGGCATACTTTTCACTTTCCTATGGGATGGACTGATTAGATTTTGGGGTCACGAGGTCGAAGGTCACAGGGCTCATTATGTCTACAAAAATAGCTCGTGATCGCATTATAATGAGAACCAATAGACAGATTACTATCAAACTCAAGACATGTATATATGTATCTTGCAGAGCCAATTAACTGATTAGATTTTAGGGTCATCAGGTCAAAGGTCATGGGGCTCATTATGTATGACTATAAATAGCTTGTGAATGCATTATTATTAAAACCGACAGATGGATTACAATCAAACTTGAATTTTAAAAATTGCTTCCGTTTTGGTTTGTAAAGTTGCTCTATGGCGGAGGCATCATTTTTGACTGCGCGCAGTCAAAATTCCATCTAGTTTCTATACATGTAACCCCAATTTACAATATATGTGAGTACAAGATTGATTTCCTTTTTTAAATACAGAACAGAATACCTGAGCAGGCCTTTCAAAATATGAAAACACAAATGGACTTTAAAGAGATGACAAAGATTGCTTTCTGAAGTGATTACAACTGTATTCATTTGCAAGAATGAATTAAATATTCATCATTGTCAACTTTTTATCCTAATTACAACTTGAAATAAATCAAGAGAAGTGAATAAGATATCAGAATAGAGATATGAATTATCTTTACCTTGAATAATAATAATAATCCGTTCTTGTATAGCGCATAACATATTATGATATACCGTAATGCCCCTATCCTCTTCCAAAGAGCTTTGGAAGTTATTACCTTAGCCCTGACAGCTGTTATTAGCACACAGTGCATTCAAGGAATAATCATCCCAGGTACCCATTTATCTCACCT